ATATATTTTTTTCCTATGCAATTGAATACTCTTTTATTTGTCATTTAATCCCTTGCCGTTTAGCCCCTGGTGTAGTGATTTAGCATAAAAAGCTCTAGTAAATTATCCAAATAAACAGAAAGCTTTGACATCGTGGTATGTCTCATATAAATTTCATAAAATTTGAAAAAGTACAATTTACCGTCTCAAAGCAAAAACCATTTTAAACAAAAGATGGCGAGAATGGGCTAAATAATGTTTTTGATAGATGAATATGGAGTTCTATACTAAATATATCTTTTGACTTAATTTAAAACAATTTGCCCTAAAGATGAGGAAGTTATAGACATTTGCCTTCCTACCCACCTATATATGTATATATGATGATTCATATAAAATAACAAAATATGATATTCTGAATTTCAAAAAATGTATAAATTTAATATTTTTCCTAATTCTACTGCATTTTCGTATATAATTTATTTAATACATAATTTTTGGCGCGATTATCTATTAGCCCTTTGAATATGAATATCCCCAATACCTTCTAAAAATATATTTAAACATGATATATGATCTTAAAACTTTCTGAATTATTAGAAGCATAATGTCAATTGCATTATGTTTAAACTGTTCATATTTCAATGCCACCCAATTTCAAGGTGTTAAACATTCCCATTTTGATCTCAAAAACACTGGAATAAAAAAAAATTGAATAACCGAGGGATATATAATATTTTTTATCCCAAATAATATAAAATGTCATTATTGTTGTAGCTGTTAAAAAAAAGACGAAATAAATTTAATTTAATACAGAAAATGTCAGTTATTTCCTGACAGGGGCTTTGAGTTTTCCTGGGGGATGGAAAAGAAACGTGATCATCACATGGTTGATTGTCAATAAAAAGTCCTTTGTTGGATATTTGGGGTGAAGATATTGGATTAATTGCAGAAGATGTCAGCTGGGAGGAACAAAGAATGGACCTGTGGGAATGAAGAATATATGAAGCTGGATAATTATTATTTATAATCTTTATATTTTTTTTAATGGATAGATAAATATAATTATAAATAAATATGGATCTTCTTTAATTATATATTTAAATTTCCAAATATTTCTGATTATAATAATTCGTTAAACTGACAAGTCCCTTAAACCACTAATCCTGGTAGTAGAGTAATTGGCAAAAGTAAAAAAACATTAGCATTCTCGTGTTTATGTTACGTTTTTTACTACAGTCAGGAATTAATCGGTGTTAGTATGTATATAAAGTTCAATAAATGACTGCAAATCTTTCTTTAAATTTTTAGGTGTAGATTCTTCATATGTGTGCGGTTATGTCTTTTATTTATGCTTGGTTTTCAAACTGTCAACATTTAAATTAATTTTATCTCTAGATAAACTAAATCTTAGTTTAACTTAAGGTTTAAGTCGTGTTCTGCTTAATTATTTTCTCAAATAATGGATAGGTTATTTAATAATAAAACAAATCTAGTAAATAAAAAGGCCAAAAGGGGGTATTACCTGTTTTTTTTTGATTCGCCATTTAATTTCAAGTCAAATATTCACGGGCTTAGAAAATCTATACAAATTAGGAGGTATATAATTATCCACCATTTTTACTTACTAATGGCCCATTTGCGTCAATGTTAATTGCTAATTGTTTATTGTTTATTTATTTAAATAACATCCTCTTAACATCCATTGAATTAAAATAAAATAAATTTAACGATAATTTTCACAACAATTTTATTTCGAGTCCTTTTTTTTCATCTTATTTTTAAATTTTTTTTTATATATATCCATCTTATTCCCCCTCCTCTAAGAAAAACAATAACACAAAAATTTTAAATCCCTTTCCCACCTTGCCCCTCCCCCTAATGCCCCATTCTACACATATCCCAATTAGAAAAAAATGTCCAAACTGTGGGCTACATACCTTAATCAACAAAAACGGAACCCTAAGGAAGCACAGTAAAAGTGGTAACTGGTGCCATTTATCACATCAGTCACCTTTAACAGATCATATCCCCCCCCCTCCATTTTCTCTTTGCATTTAACATTAACATCCCCTTCACCCAGCTCTCACCATAATTAATAATTTATCTGTTAATGTGTACTTCCAATGAGTTACCAATACCCTCCTTCTCCGATGAATTTACAAATTTACCTAAATCTCATATTATCTCAAGAATCCTCACGGGGAGCCAGGCTTCTTGATGCTAAATCATATAGTAAAACTATTAATAACCTTCTAACCAATTTTAACTCCCTACAGCACTGGAAAGAGTTTCTCTTATTTGGCTTCCATGCCTTTCAGGTTCCAACTGACAAAAGCAAGTAGTCCCTCACTCAACAAATTAAGAACAGGTTAAATTATCTAGACAACATTTCAATGGACATAACTTCCACACCTAAGTTATCCATAAATCCTTTTAAGATAAAAGTAAATTTAGTGGGAAAGAAAATCGATAATTTAGATATAAAAGGGGCACTCCGTCTGGCCTCTTTATCAGACAAGCCCCCATTAATTTTCAAACTTATACCCGATTGGCTATGAAGCACCCCACACAACAGGTATCTACAACTGAATTACCTGGTGTAAATCCCACATCTTATCCATTAGAATTTACACCAGAGGAAGTGAGGAAAGCAATCTCAACCTTTCAAAAAGATTCTGCACATGGTTTTGAAGGCATGGGACCGATATATCTTCAATACCTAACAATCCATCTTATAAATTCTCAAACTATCCTACTCAACAGTAAAACCTCCTTTGTAACAGGATCTTACTTGATGACGTTCCTATCTTCGCCCAGCCAATTATGTTTGGAGCAAAACTAATAGCTCTTACAAAACCCAATAAAGACTTACGCCTAATTGCCATAGGCACCCTCTTTACGAGATTAGTATCAAAATTAATTTCGGCTCGAATCAATGGGAAAGTCTCTACAATTCTCACTTCAACTCAACTAGGGGTTGGTGTCAAAGGCGGCTGCGAGTCTGCCGCTCATATAGCCCGAATCTATCTTCAAAATAATCCTCTAAATAAACACCTAATTAAAATTGACTTTAACAATGCATACAACACAATAAAACGATCTGTCTTCCTAAAATCCTTTATCAATAGCTTCCCATGCTACTCCAGCTACATTTTAGGCTGCTATGCGAATACCTCCATCTTACAATATGGTGAATATAGGCTTTCTTCTTCAGAAGGAATTCAACAGGGTGATCCCCTAGGGTCGATATTATTTTGTCTAAGAATAGACAATCTAGTTAAAAAAATTAAAAGCAGTTGCCTGTTAGATCTTCATATCTGGTACATAGATGACGGGATTATAAGCGGAAGCCCAGAAGAGGTAGACAAATCCCTAGAAATTTTGCAAAAGGATGGGCCAGACATAGGCCTTCTCTTAAACGTCGACAAAACAGAGTTCTGTCAGCTCACCTCTCAATCTCCTAACTGTCACGCCTTTAAAGAGGTTATGGCCGATGAACTAACACATTTTGGCTCACCAGTTGGGGGTTGCTTAGCAGTTGAAGCCTTTTTCCAGGCTACTTCAAAACTTATGCAACTTCCCACGCATAAATCTTTATTCTTAATAAAAAATTTCTTCAATATACCAAAGATCCTATATGCTCTACGGTCAACTGCTGTTTTTAAACATCCCAAACCCTTAAGAGCATATGAATCCATAATTAAAAATATCATGGAAAAAATAACTAACCTCAAATTTAACTCCAATTCGTGGCATCAATCCACTCTCCCCTGCAATACAGGAGGCTTAGGGTTACGATCACCCATAGCCTTATCAATTAGTGGTTTCATCTCTTCCAGATAGCAAGCTCCAAAATAATAACTGATCACCTGACCTTGCCAGATGCACTGCTTGACGAAGCTTATGTCATATGGAAAGCCTCAGTTGGAGATGAATGTTTACACCAGCATCCCATAAACCAAAGGATTGGGATAATCCGATGATTGCAAGGTCCGTTGATTACCTCTTTTCGACACGATCATGCCCTATTAACTTCCCTCAACCAAGGTTCAGCATATGAATACTTGGATGCCTTCCCCTCTAAAAATCTTGATCTCGAACTTTCAAATCAAGAATTCAGTTTTGCATAGTCATTCGATTAAATGTAACAACCTCAGTTTCATATAAGTGCGCCAAGTGCAAAAGGCCAGTAAGTCAAACTGGTCGTCATTGCCTCCAATGCATCTTTAGCAGTGGACGCTTAATCCGGCATAACAGGTGTAATGCTCTCGTAAAACGAGCTTTACAGTCAGCAGCAGGCTTTCCTGCCACTTTAGAACCCTCAGGTCTCTTTACGGATGGGAGACGACCCAATGGAATTACATAAATTCCTTGGGAGAATGGCCAATTTCTAGCACGGGATTTCTCCTGCGTTGACTCCCTCTCACCCTCCAACATCAATAAAGACATTTTAAAATACACCAAAGATTTTAAAACAAATAAATATCTGGATATTCCAGATGAGTATAATTTCGTACCAGTTGTCACGACAACCTTAACATCTCTTGAAAGTCAGGCTTCTAGCCTAATTAAAAAGATTGGCAGAACCTTAAGAACAAAATCAGGAGACCCAAAAGAAGGCGTCTACTTACGTCAACGCATAGGAATTCAGATTATAAAATCTAATTTCACATGCTTCATAGGTTCATTCCCCGAGGAGCCCGATAATCTAGATTTTCTTCTTCTTCCCTAAATTATTTAAAATCCCCCCTTCTTCCTCATATAATCATTTGCACTAATTATATTTCCATTATTATATTTTGTATTATGAAGTTGGTTGTTTCTTAAAATTTCTAGAATTGTTAAATTATATATTTTTCTTAAATTCCGTTATGTACAACAAAAAACTTATATTTTATTGTAATTATATATATTTATTATTTTTATAAATAAAGTTAAAGTAAGTAAAAAAAAAATCTTTATAAAACAAATGCATAATATAACAATGCAGTACTTTTATTCTTGTAAAAATAGTAAAATGCCTCAAAACTATATTTTGAAGATTTTTAAATAATCTAAAATATTCGCAATAAAATATAAAAAAAAAATATTTATGAATTTTAAAAGAATAACGAAAATAGAGATATATTAAATATTATATAGTACTACGACATATATTTTTTGTATAATAAAACATTCACGCCTACTCATTCAAAGAATGATGCGTAATTTAGTAAGTAAGTGCTAAATAATTTATAATTCCATGTAATGATAATTATTTCTTTTTCGTAAAAATTTTTGAATTACCTAAATATTAATATGTTAATTATAATTATTTATTAATATATTTTTATATTATCGGCAATGTGACTAATCAAGAAATACAATCAATCCATCCTGCCATATTACCAGTATTAACGTCATATCATAAGTATATCAAAGTGGGTGGGAGGAGGAAAATTTCCTGCTTCTGAAATTAGCTGGGACCAAGATTCCCAACTTAGACAGTTACCTAATTTGTCAAGATTTTTTATTTTCAAATATTAGTTAATAGGAGTTTGATTGGGACTCGAAATTTTGATCAGAATACAATTTTTACTTTATTATACAATTTTTAATTAATTATTTGATGGTTTTTTTTTTTAAATTTCAAAGAAATCTGATTTCTCCCGAAATATATTACAGCATGAGTAAGAATTATCTAACATAAAAATTTTGGTATTTTGTAAAATATTATATATAGTAAAGCCATACATAAAATGAAAATAAATTGTCAAATAAACTAAATTTGCCATCACATTGTCACGTGTGGTCCTAGACAAACTAGTTGCTTATAAATGTTCTTATAAATTTGGTTGAATTTTTCTTTTTCTGTAAAATAATCTCTCCTTAAAAATGGCTAATACGTACCCCGCTAAAATCTGTCTCATTCATAATTATATAAAATTTAATTTGAAGATATAAAGTTACCACAAATATTGTCAGGCCCAGCCCGATTTCAAAAAAAAAAAAAATTTTTCATAGAATTTATTTAGAAGCTACTACTGTTTAAATCCTTTGTATTCTTTTCCTTCCATTCCTAAATCTTTTACCCTTGACCCTGAATTTTTAAATGTTTAACTTTCTACAACGAAAACATTGTCACATCCGCTTTATATCAAATCGATTCGACAAAATACATTCTTCTTCCTTTTCATCCTCCATCAGTTTCTCCCACGTTATCCTTGTGTTTCCATTCATTTGTTGCCTCCATTTATCCTCCCACTTTATCTACAATGGATAATAATTAATTGGTAATACCACATTTTTCATGATATGTGACTTAAAATGAATGTATGATACGTTTGCCATCAAATCTTTAAAAAAATGCAAAAATAAATATATATATCTCCTCACCCTCCTAGCTCTATGTATAATTCTACTCTAATTTTTGTTTGATCATGGTGACGAATACCCTCCGTCCCATTTTCAAATTTTATACGATTTAATTTTTTTCCTAAATTTTCTACTACTATCCCTCTTTCCCATAATTTATCCTTATTATTATAACATATAGCCCATACCATTTGACCCATATGATATAATGTACTATTGATTTTCTTTGATAAAACCTCTATATCACATCTTGGTTTTATAAGATCCAATAATACTTTCGTCCTTCTTCCCAAAAATTCTTCAGTTGGAGTAAAACCTCCACTGTTTTTGGAATTATTATAATATAATTGTGCAATCCACACTTCACCCCTTTCATATTTGGCTTTCTTTAACCAATTTTTAACAATGGCCACCATCCTTTCAGCTTGTCCATGAGAACTAGGATGATATGGTGGTGCCAAAATTGTGTGTTAGCACAAAATTGTTTAAAATTCTCGCTAATGAAAGCTGGACCGCCATCAGAAACAATGACTTCGGGAATCCCGAATTTTGCCCATAAATTTTGTAATTTTTTAATTGCAATATTAGTAGTTAAACCATGTACTTCCTCATTTTCAATCCATTGTCAATATGAGTCTACTACTAAAAAATACCATCTTTTATTTAAATCAAAAAAATCGACTTGTATTCGTTCCCACGGTCGACTTGTTTTTGGCCGAAGATTACCTACTTCTTTATGTGGCATGTTGGAAAAAGTATTGCAAGGCACACATTTTTTTGTAATATATTCAATTTCCTCATTCATACCCGGCCACCATATATATTCCCTAGCCCATTGCTTCATTCTTTCAATGCCTTGATGACCAGCATTATAAACTAAAATATGCACAAATATATATGTCAAAAATTGTCTGAAATATATCGTTTAGGTAGTCTAGACACGCTGAAATAAATTTTAGGCAAAATTAATTTAAAATTCAAAAATCTTCCAGTGTAGATGATATAAAATTGAGAGATTCAATGTATTAATACTACATAAAAATATATAATAAGCTGATTACCTGTAAATTTTTAAAAATGACGAACTTAATATTATCAACGTATAGGAAAAAAAGTGACATAAAAATTATGATAGAAATTTGAAATTTATAAAACGTGAGTTCAAGCAAAAAGGTTTAATTACAAGTACAATTTATGAAATGAGGGGGATGGGAAAGCAACCTGAAACATATGCATATAGAAAGGAATTAATTTTAACTAAGTTATAATATATTATATAATTATATAGTTTTATTCTTATGCATTTTTTTGTGAAAATAGAACAAATCGAATTCATTAATATAAATGAATTTTTTTTTAAGATTTTTATAAGATATAAATTTTACGATTTTTAAATAATCATGTAATTATATGGGGGAAAAGGGAATAATTAAATCTTCCTTTGACGCAGAGAGAATTTTATTTATTTTTAAAATGAGTAACAAAATGTATGGTATAATTTAAAAATATCATCATAGTATATCCAAAAAACGAATCTAATTTAACAAACATGAACCTATATTATTACGTAAGTAAGTGTATACCAGAAAGGACGTCTATCATGTTCGATAACCATAATAGTAGAGACTGCAATTTATAAAGTTTAAAAAAAAAATTGATTTAATTTTTAAAATAATCAAATGGTCTTAGTAATTGCTTTTATAATTTACTTGGGAATAAATACATTTCATATATATAGTAAATATGTATCGATTTATAGCAAATATTAGACAATCAATAGGTTAGGGAACTATCCGAAAATTTTTCAGCGACCTCTATCTTAAGCTATTAAGTCCTCCTCTAAAGACAGTAAATATGTGAATAACTCAGCTAAAATTGTAATTGTTTTTCAACAAATCATCACTTTTTTTAAAAAAAATATGAATTTTGACAAAACCATTAATTGTTTTCTTTTATGCACTTATATAATGATTCTTGATTAATATCGATTTCTAATATTTATACGAATTTTACAATAAACTATAATATATAGTCATTTCCCTTCACAAAAAAAACATTTCGCGAAATATAACGAAAGTTGAATAAATTGGATTTTGAAGATGAAAAGAGATTTATTTTTAAATACTGATATTTTTTTTTTCATTTTTATATTATATATTTAGATTGTCATTTTAAGGTATACTTTCAAAAAAATTTTTGAATATTATTAATAACTTCTTATATTATATATTATTTTATAAGAAAAACCCCAATAATTTAATCAATATTTAAAACTGAATTTTAAGATAATTGTGAATTGTTTTTTAAAGTAATTTTTTCCTAAAACCTCGGAAACTTTGAACACGAATCACTATCCAACCCGTAGGAGATAGGAAGAAAAACTACCGATCTCACGGGCAATCCTACATCGTTTATAAAGTGTTTTTATTAGTCATGGTCTTTTTTTAAAAAATATATTTTCATATTTTTGTTTTAATATATATATATGTTTAATGCATATATATTGTATAATGAGCATAATATATTAGAAAATGAATAAGTTAAAAAAAATTCTCGCCTGTCATGCGAGCCCATCATACACTACATTCATAAAACATCCTGGCCTCTTGCTTCTGCAGGCGATCTCTGGAAGACCATTCTCTACTCATCTTGGCAGCTAGCGGTTACAAATTTCTCGAAGATTTCCTATCGAGAAATCTTGATTAACTACTAAACAACGATTACCTATGTCACGGGTCTTAGGCTCCACTGCGAAATGGTGATACCCTATTACTTTATTCTCTGTTAAGGCCTTATTACATTTTTTTTAATTGGTCGTTGTTTACCAATTGGTGTATGTTGATTATGCGATATTTAACATAAGCCAAGGATCCCAACATGGGTTACTACCTTCAGAGATTGGCTCTAAACATAATAAAGAGAAATTATATAAGCTTTATACTTTCTATGAAGGGGATCCCTTGAATGAATATCCTATGCTTAAGATACGCTTAGACTACTCAGCTCACAATTAACAAATATTATAAACATTGCCCCACCAAAGCATGTCCAATCTGCCCATCGAATTTTTGATAACGAGTTTAACGTAAAAAACTATAAATATGATCTTATAAATTTGCCATCATTGAGGAGAAGCAGAAAATAAATAAATGTGCTGCAGATTATTTATTACAACTTATATACAATTATTATGTATTGGGACACATTTCTAATTTACTACTAATTTTTATTATATAATCCTAAATTAATGAATATGATTCCAAAAATAATATCATAAACATGTATTATAAATATTTAGTTTTATATTCAATAATTATATATAAAAAATGTTTACTTATATTAAAAACCTTGCCAAAATAATTATATATTTGGATACATTACAAATTATTAAAAAATTTAATATTATATTTATTTTTCCTAAAAATTTGAACTAAATAAATTTTAATTTGACTTTAACAATAACTATTATCAAAATTTATGTCTAAAGGTGTAATAGTTTTTCAACCAAAAAAAAAGTTCCCTCAACTAAACAAAGGTTCTACAAGAGAGTTTTATGTAAATGAGACATTATATTTGATAAACAGAATTTTAAATTTGGGAAATTTTTATATATAAAGATTATAAATAATTTGGGAAATTATCATATAAAGATGATAAGTTATTTTTTCGTAATTAACTAATGTGTTATTTTTATGTCAACTAGTTATAATAAAGATTTAAATAATTATTCTAGATTATTTTGGAATAAAAAAATACTGTTTAAAGAGAAAAGTATCCTTAATTTTAATGAGTGGAGTCTGCATTCAATATTAGTATCCAATAAAATTTTTTAAAGTGGTTGCCTTAATATTCATAGTTTAATAAAGAAAAACAAATTTGCATTATAGGGGTTATTAACATAGGTAAAAAAAACAAGTTTAAAGCCAATTTTTTTAAGAATGGTTGCTTTAATAATATAGTTTAATAAATAGAGACAAATTTGCATTATAGGGGTTATTAACATACTACCCTCTAGTCAGCTTTTTTGTCCTGAGTGAATTAATCCCATTCTGCTCTTAAATTTGATTATTTTTTTTTTAAAAAAAAACATTTTTCTTTCTGGGGGAAATATTTTTCAGATAATAAATTTTAATAATTTTATTCTTTACTTTTTATTTTGGAGGGTATTAGTGAAGGAGGATTTAATTATTATTTATAATTATCCTTTACTTCAGTGAATCAGGACGATTATACAGTAAAAGTAAGTTATTGACTTGGCTATAATAATTTTGTTGCTTTAAGTAACTGAATGATATTGTTTAGATAAGTTTTGACTTGAAATTCAACAATCCATGATTTCTCAATGATGATAAAAGGTGAGTCACACAAATTGGGTCTCAGTAAAAATTAAAAATAAGGGGTAATTTTGATTGAAAATATTACATCAAGGACTCACTGAGGACGACAAACATATTCACTATCACATGTTTTATCACAAATAACTAACAAATGATAATCAATATTAATTAATTTAATTCTTGTAAAATTTATTGGCAAAATATATTCATAACACCATAACAAACCTTAAAGAGATATATAAAAAATACTAATTTTTATAGTGAATTTTTAATGATAAAAAATACTAAATTTTTATGGTGAATTTCCAAATGATAAAAAAAATAATCAATAATTATAAAAATAATTCACAATTTTAATACAAAATAAATAAAAAAAATTGCAGAACTTGTCTAATTTTATCTCTAATTAATCTGGGCAAAAATAGCTCCCTGCGTCAGACAAACATCCAATCCAAAACAACCCAATATGACGTATATATCTAAACATGGAATTTTTTTAATATTGATTGCGAGGGGTTTCTAAAATAGTGACGTTACTTTTACTATATAATAATTATTTACCACGTATATAAGAGCTATATTTATAAATATTTATCGATCTGGTTAGAAAATTATCATTATCAGAGTTTATTTCTAAAAAAAAAACTTATTATGTCATTTTGTTATTTCAAATAATTTTTCATTTAAAAAACCATTTTGATAAATAATATCTTTCTTCCTTTTTTTATTTCATAAATCCGAATGAAGTCATTTTTATGCATCAAATAATATTGATCCAAAGTCGGCAAGAAAATAAGTATGAATATCATTCTGAATTTTGGAAATAAAATATTCAATTAAAATTAAAAATTATTTATAAAATATTATGGACAAAAAATCTCTCCTATCACATAAAAGGAAACGTGGAAAGATTTATAAAGTACCGGAGGAATCACGAGAACAAGGGCTCTTAAGCTCTAATCACTTCGAAGAAGAGCTGGCAGAGGGAATGGGAAAAGACAATTCTATCGACAAAGAAGGGGTAATATCAGAACCAGACACATCTCTGCTACTGAGCGAAAATTTACTCGAGACAGACGGTAGACCTTCTAGTTCTTTGCTTGACATGTACATGTACCCATCGGAAACTCGAGACAGTTACACTCGGAAATTAACTAAGGATCATCGCAAATCAGGCAATAAAAAGCAGGATGAATCAAAATTGTATCATGCGAAAGGAATGAGATCATTTATTTCTAATTCAGACCATCATAGATCTTACTTGATTCCTGCTAACAGAAACTACAACTATTATCATAGATCGGGGCCTTTGATAAAGAATTATCATCTTAGAGATGATGGACCTCAACCTTATTGGGCCTCTATTCGTAACTCCGGCCAAAAATATTTCACGATCGAGTCATATTACGATGACAACATTAAAACTACTCACCCTAATAGTCCTATCATTTCCACAACTCCCACCTCTAAAACGCATCATAGGGTTAAAGTTTTAAGGCGCAAAAAGATAACCACGACTCCGACTCAAAATCTGCTAATATCTACCGTGGTGGTTAGGAGAAGAAAGAAAATACGAAAGAAAAAACCTCTCGTTCTCAATGAAAATATTACTGATGTAGCGCTTGGAATCTCAACCTTGGCAACCAACGTTAAATTTTCTATTGACGAACTGACCCATCCCGCAGTGAAAGCTAATGCTAAAGAGAGTGATTCTAAAACAGCTAATAGTATGGACGAAAATGTAGGCCTTAAAAAGGACAAAATAAGCATTGAAGATGAAGATGGGAACGACGAGGAACAAGAGGAAACGGGGGAAGTCGGAACAAATGAAGGAGTAAAATATGGTCGTAATAATAACGAAAATGTAGAATTCAATAAGAAATTAAGCACAGAAAGACCCGTATTAATAGAGGAAGAGATATTGATCACCAGAGTCTCACCCGACGAATTATATAAAAAACACAGAAGCAAAACTGTTAAAAGTGGAAAAACTAAGATGATTACGCCCATCGAAGTACAGGAGAGACAGGGTCCTGACATAACTCAGGAACCAGTCCCACAAAATCACCCCAAAAAACATATATCAAGAGAAGATATCACCAAAAAGCTACTAAACGTTACGAAAAAGATTCCACGTAAAAACATCTAATATATTTCTAATTTAACTTAGAATTAAAGGTTGAGGACTTGAGCATATGATAATTTAGTTAAATGAGCCCTGGCGTTTAAAATAAAATAAAAATGAATGACTTAAAGATCTAAGATGCATAAAAAACAAAAAATTGAATAAATGAAAAAAAAGGCGCAGTAAATAATTTTTAATTAGTGACAGAGAGGACAAATAGGGATTAAAAAAATGTAATTTAAAAGTAGACTTGCAATGAACTTTGAATTTAAATTGTAGATGAGAAGAAAAGATATTTTTTATTGATTTTCAATTAGATAAAGAAAGAAATCTAATGAACGATATAAAATTATATATATAATTCCTTATCATAAAAATATTATTATGTAAGGAAGGATACAGTTAATATAACTACTATAATATTATTATACAATATTAATCCAAATTTAAATGAACATAAAATTTTAAAAAAAAATATTGAACATTAGAAGAAGGAAAAAATTATATGAGAAGGATAATTCTAATCATCTAGCCATCTAGGACTATCGTGTTAATAAAACAGACATAATTTGCCTTTAGAGTAGATATTCATATTCCTTGCCATAATTAAAAGCCTTAGCAAATCAACCACAATTTTTTACTTTGAATCACCATTTGTTGCTATAGTGGAACTGATTTTTGTAAAAATATATAACCTGATGCATAGACGTATCCAGGAATTTGCTAAGTGAGTGTGTGGGGGGGGGGGAACATTATTAAATGGGTAATTTTATTGGATGTCTTTAGGTCCATTACAAGCCTTTGGCTATATTATATTCTTATATAAATTATAAATAATTAAGGGTTTTCATTTTTTTTTAATATAGTATATGATTGTTTTCTTCTAAATATTTTGAATTAGAGTCGTTGTTTTAAAAATTATCAACTTTTACTAATTTTTCTTTGAAAGCATTCTTTATAGTTGTAGTGATTTATTAATAAAGATTTTTGATGGAGAGTAGGGTGGGGGGCATATAAGGAGAAATTTTTTATTAGCTAAAAATGATATTTACGAGGACAGACAAATTTGCGTTGGGGGGGGCATGGTCACGCGCTTGCTGATGATCTTCAGAATATTTGGAGAAATTATTTTGATCAAATTTGCCTGACCTAATGATGATTTCCTTGAATTGAACATCAATTCAGCAGAGAAAAAACTCTTTTGCCAAGTGAGCAAGTTAATGAGAATTTTTCGAGCCACCATTAAAAGTTGTTAAAGATCGCTCCTCTTTCTTTTCCAGAAATTCAGAAAATCGCTATCTTGTTGATGATGTCTTCCATTAATAAGATGGCCTTCTTATTTCTTCGAATGTTCACAGTTAATTTACTCAGAAAACTTGTATTTTACACATTTTTAGCTTTCATATTCTACAATTAATAAGAGGAAATGTTCTATTTTTGAAATCCTGTTTAACATAAAATCTTATAGCTACTTTTTTTAAAAATATTTTTCTCAAGTGAAATAACCTGAGCTATCATTATCATATACTAATAAATAAATCTTTATCTCACTTCTGAAAAATTATTGCGTATATCAGTGGGTGTATTGCTTAAAAATTTGGCAGGGGGTCGGGTGGGGGGGGGATAGAGCTATAGTTTTTGAATTGAATAATTTTCTATAAATCTTTAAATTTTTTTGTTTCTTTTGGGCTGTATTTTTTTTGGAGCGATTTCCTAGCCATAATTCCTTTAGAGTGTTAGGATATATGGATATGAAATTCACTCCGCTATCGAAGGTCCACTAATATTCAAGAACATTAAATTTGACAAATTATTTACTTTTAGCTGGATTATATACCTTGATCAAATTCATAACATAAAATTTCACATTTGACAGTAGTGCAGGATATAAAGTATGACATTTCTTGCCTACATTGTTAAATCGGCTCAATCATAACAATCGTAAAATTTCGCACCATCTTTATTTTAAAAAATTAAATAAGTGTATCTTTAAAATCATAATTACTTCCTACTTTTTAGGTCTATTTAGTAATTCAGTAAAAAAACTTTTTATAAGAAAAAATCCCCCTTATAACTTATTAAATGTTGGAAAAATAAATTCGTAATTAGTACATTCTTTTTTGGCCTTGGGATGAATTGGAAGGCAGGTTTGAGGGAAATGCCTCCCCTCCATTTTACCACAATCGAAAAAAAATAATGTTTATAAAATGTTTTTTATTTCAAATTTTTAAACCTGTAACTTTAAAATAAATAACCACTTACCGATTTTAGTTTAAAATAAAATATTAGAAAACGAAAAATTTCTATATACGTTTTTTATTTGGGTTTTTTTTTTTCAGAGAAAATTGAGAAATTTAATTGAGAATTTTTCTATTTCCAAGGAAATATTGTATTTTTTTTCTTTTACAAATGGATTTTTCTTCTCTCTTCCCCCCCCTCTCTCTTATAATTTAATCTATTTATATAAAAACACTTCCTTTTTTTAATTGATGAGTAAACTCTGAAAGTGTTAATAAACAAAACATATAAAATATTATCCAAATCTTATTGGAAAAACGATTGACGTAAGTAAATTTAAAAATATATTTCATTTCGGAAATGAAATGTTTTTATAATAAAAAAACATCATATTGGTTTTTTTTTTATAAACGTCATTACATTATATTTCACAAGCCATAATTAATGAAAATAAAACCAAATTTTTACCATTTTGTTTATTTACAAATGGAAATTATAATTGAAATTATTTAACAAAAAAAAATTGGCAAATGATGAATATCTCTCATTAAATTTATAATTATAAAAAATACGTTTAAAAATAATTATTATTATCATCCAATATTATCTCTAAAAATGGTTATAATAATATATTATAACGTTTTTAGCAAATTATATTACACAATAATATATATTTATTTTCAAAAATTATTAATTAAAATGGAGATTTGGGGTAAGGGGGGGGGGCTGGGGTATAAAAAGAAATTAAATTTTCCTATGGATTAAGCTTTAAAAATAATTTAAGGAATTGTAAGACCGCATATATCATAGTCTAATAGATAATCTCCTTCCTCTAATTTTCCAATCTTTTTAATGTTCATTTTATTTTATCTGGGATACTATATAACCTAAAGTTAAAAATTAATTCTCCCCCCCCCTGGCCAATACAGCCTGATCAAATCGAGTTCGAATGCGGTTTCAGGTTGAGATCTGAGTTCTACAAAGAAAATAAATTTTTAAGCATATGGCCAGTTCTAACCCACCTCTCCCTCCCCCCACTTCTGAGGTAAAGGCTCTCCTTATGCAATCTGACTCATATTATCAGCGTCTACATGACAGTATATTCACTGGATGCAAACCTCCCCTCAAAAATATATATCTACCCCCCTAAAAATACCAAAATGTTATCCATAGATAATTTAAAAATGTAATGAAAAATTTTCTAGATTATTATAGCCTACCCCCCAAAATGCCTACCCCCTACCCTCTACCATCTACCCCCTACCACCTACCCCTTTATAGATATTAGGATGCAAACTGTTCCTACCCCCCCCCCCCGTTCATGTAGACACTGCATATTATAAATATTTATTATTGTAATAATTGGATTACTTTTTTGTTGGTTTTGTTTTCCTTCCAGATCATTGGATTATTTTTTTAGCCAATAATATATCCGCTTTCATTATATGATACAATATTTTAATTGGGTTAATTTTCTTTCAATTATATTGGAGACTTTTTTTTTAACAGTGATATTATTTAATTACACCTTTTAATTTATTTCATTTATATTAAAAATATTTCTCGATGCCATAATTCTTAATTTAACATTTAAACTATATAGAGTTTTTTCAAGTTAAATTATAATTTAATTCCTTTAGAAATTTTACATAAATTTTGCTATAGAAATTTCTTTAATTCAATGATTGAATTTTCTATCTGAAAGAACTTCTGTTGCATTATGAAATATTTATTAATTATTAGTTTATCATGATAATTATATCATTTGTGTAAATAAATTTTCTTATGCAAAAATTTTGTTCATCTAGCCCCAATAGCGGGGTTAGGCAAACCACTTCAGGGTACAACCTAAACCATTGGATTGTTTTTATGCTAAAATAAATTGAAATGCATTTTTATTTATTAATGATAGGTATTAAATAATTTTGTTGCTCAATCATAATATTTATAAATTGTAGCTAATTATATATAAAAATTAACACTTAATTTTGGTTATAATAAACATTTTGAATTTATAAAACATTTAACGAAGTTTGCACACCATATGCCCATCCTTGGCATGCATTGGTACCACTTTCTTTTATGAGTATTTATATAATCAACAAATGCAATATCTTTGTCAATAATTTTTTTTACTATTCCTTTCTTGCAAATATTTCACCTTCTAATAAAGTTTAATCTAAGAATACGTAAAAGATATTAGATTATATTAATTATAACTTAAATACTTATACAATAATATTATACTTCATCATAATTTTAATCCATCATACATTAAAATATAAGAACTTAAAATTTATAAATAACATTTAAAAACAATATATAAAAATATTTTAATCTCTTTATCATTACCATTTAGATTTTTATTTACATAATCTCTATTATTAAATATTACTAAAATTTGATTATATGGTTTAAAAATTACATGAAATAATTGTGATATCTATCTTAAAAATAAGATAGATAATGTATATAAATTAGTGTTCCTTGTTGATTTACAATTTTCTTATAAGCCTCCTAATTACATTATAATATTGATTCTTCAAATTTTTGTATGCTTATAAATAATCATTAATACACTTTGTAATTTTATTGGATTTGTATTTTCGCACCATATCAAATATGTATTAAATACTAAAAAAAACCATTAAATGGGTTGATGTGTTTGGTTTTGCAAGATGCGCTAGCTCTAACTAATCATGATTAAAATAATATCTAGATATAATAAATACTCATAAAACTTTTAAAAATTATAAAAAGGTGTTAAAACTTTGCTATAAAGTTTAATTTATATGAAAATGAATCATATATTTTAATAAAAATTAAAATTCTTTCATGTAAAAATCATTTTAATTTTTCATTAAAATTTTATTTTTTAATAATTTATTATTTCAAAAGATTTTTTCTATAAATATAAACTAATGAGCTAAATTAGGATAAAATTTTAACCTTCTGGTATATTTTTAAAATAAGAAATAAGTGGTTTGCCAAGCCTCGGGGTTTACCTAACCCCAGTCTCCTCTACTTATGCGAAAATGGAATGGGGTTGTATAACCGGAAATGACTTGCTCATGTGTAAAGGATTTGATAAGGGATAGTAGATCAACTGAAGGATTAGGCATCGTAAAGACTTTTAAATTGGATAAAATCTAATATATAATATATATTAACAAATTTAATTATTAGCCTTGTAAACTGTTAGATAAGAATAAAACAATATTATATGAAATTTGAACTGAAGAGCAAAACAATATTTACATGTAATTTATTAATAATAAAATCAATAAATTTATATGAAGATGAACAATATTTTTATCTAATCTAATTTATATAATAGAAACAATAAAATTATGTTTAGTATTAAAATAACTAAATTTAATGTTTATGGAAAATAATATAAATATATATATAAAAAAACAATATAGATATGTATAATTTATTTATAATAGAATCAATAAATTTATGTAAAGAATAAGAATCAATAAATTTATATTATTCAATGTCCTTGAGTTGGACTAGCAGGATAGGGATAAGGGGTAATTTTTTTTCATCAATAATCTAAATATTTCATATTGGTTTGCATCTTAGCAGACAAAATAAGTAAGAAATTAAATTAAAAAACTGTTTTGAAATGATAGTAGTGAGAAATAACTCATTATTTGCTTATTACCTATTTTATTCGTATGCCTATTTACTAATCCCATTTTGAAATAGACGAATTTCGTTTTTTTAATGATTATCACTTAGTCTCAACACATATCGGACCATATAAATTTTAATATCTTATTAAAAAAAATTAAAAACTAACCATTTATTATAACCTAATCAAAAGTACATATCAATCTTACAATGCAATGCAACAAGTTAATTCAAATAGCTAAAGTCATCCTTCTTGTCACCAATTCATAAATGTATCATTCCCAGTTATACCTATTTTATTAATGGCTCTCAAAACCAAGACTACCTGACCACTATTTTAGAGCCTTCATCTATAAACATAATATCGGTTTCAATATACTCTATGATGCATCTATAGATATTGCGCCGACCTATAGTCATTTTTCATTGCAGCTAACCCTCGCATTTATCTCTTATATCCAAAGGTGCAGGGCTTCAAATAGTAAGATCTTATTTCAAGAATCTAACATCTTTGCTTAACAATTTCCCTTCATCAGCCATTCACTGGCTTTTTATCGTACTCTTTGTTTATATTACAAACATATGATATATTTAGCAAAAAAAATTTTGCTCAATAGATAAAAGAAACTCTACCATCCTCCCTTCTAGTTTAAGGGCCCACATCTTTCATCAATGGCAAATAGTGCAACAAAAGGGAGAGCCAAAACTCAAGAATTGGGTATTTTTCAAAATCCTGTTGTTGCAACACATGACATGAGGTAAAAATTTTGAAGAGCACATATTCAATCATAAATTCTGGAAATTGTCTTGGCTGCAGGCTACACTATCCACTAAAGCAGATGAAATTGGTGTGCTATCACCCATACTACTCTTAGTCAGGTTTTCATAACTTATGCTTATTATGTAAATCAATTATCAGTAAGTTAAAGACTCAACCGTATCTTCTTCAACTCCATCAGACCATCTCTATATTTGAAGGTCATCTATCCTTTTTGACAACTCTTCAATCTTATTATAAGGAGACTGAAATTTATCCTTAGGTGGCGACACCTTCTCATTTCTTAAATCGAGAAGCCAACCTGTGGAACAATCTCTACCTTTTGACTTCTTTTGGAAATGTTTATGAATTCCTTGAAGGCACCCCTTCAAATATCTTACTTATTACTTATAAACGATGAGCTTAGCCATGCCATAGGACTCACACTTGACTGTGATATGGCCCTACCATACTAATGTTAACTATGTCAAATTCCAGTTAACTCAAAAGGTTGTCTCTCTACATTTCATTCGATACTGATAGATATCTAAGATTACCATTTGCAATGACATTGCCTTAAAATCCGGCATTCCTTCCGAATAGACTGGACTTTGTAATACAGGTGGAAACTTTCCCGTTATATCATTATAAATTCCTTAAATGAGTGTTGAGTTTAACCTCTCTTTCACGCGTAGATTTACTCATAAACTTCAATCTATACCACAATGTTATATTCATTAGCTCCCTTAGCACAAATATCCTAGCCTTCTTCAAGGATCTAGGTTAGAGATCTGTAATTTCCAGCCCATGGGCAATCAGATAAAGTCTGGAATTTTGTGTTGGGCCTTGTAAAAAAAGTAAACGGCACAGGGCTAAATTTATATATATTTGATAAATTCTGATATTTCTAAGAAGTGATAATCCTTAAAATATAGTGTTTTTAAAACCACTACCCAAGATTATAAATAGTTGATTATTTTGGGATTGTTCAACTTAAATTTTGATTTAGGCCTTGTATCTAAAAATTAAAACTGGGCAAGACAGAAACGGCTAACATATGTAAAAAATTGAAACTGGACCGGCCCAGTCGAATTCGCCTAGAGAAATTTGAAATATTTATTTTTAAAAAATTAATTATGCTTATTTTTCTTTTACATCATTGTTTATGATGATATACAACATTTAGTGTTGAAGTGGGTGTAGTGAAGGGGGAAAAATAATATTCGCCAAAACCATAAAGAATTCTTTGAGGTGCTAGCTACGACTATTGATATAATCATAAATTTGTAATATTTCTCAATTAATATAACTAACAGTTATAAGTTTAACACTGTCTTAAAAACAATTTATCTGAATTTGACTATATTTGGCCAAATTCGACAATAAGCCAACTATTTATCAATTAACCGAATCATATTTGATGAATGGTTAATGCAAAACCTTTGCATTTACACAGCCCTGACACATAGAAAACATAACTTTTATTTGGGAATGTATAAAAATTCTGATAATTTAACGGAAATTCTAGTCATAGCAAGTTCGAATTAATATAGATAATAAAGCTGCCATAATTATATCAACCCATGATTTTATATTTGTTCAAATTTTACACTCACTAAACGCTACACTAAAGTTTCAACTATACCATTAAAAATTATAGTATATGTATAATTATTAAAATTTATTTATATAGTACCACCGTGGGCCTTGGTAGCAATCGCTTGCCTTGGGATATTGCTCCTGCTTTGTTGCTTGTACTATTCTATGAGGAAATTATGGAGGAAAAAGAAGAAAGAAGGTAAAAAGGGTTTAAAAGGCATCGTAGATTTAAAACAAGTCCAGGTCTTGGGGACAGGCTTGAAAGAAAAGGTTTTTCCGATAAATTGATTTACAACATTTATATATATAATTTCTAAATATGTCCAAACCTTTGTGCTATATATGAGTAGAATCTTGAGGCTTGCATAATATTTTTCTAGATAAAATATTGAGTTAGCCTTTTTAAAAATAGTGTTTGAACAGAGTTTCGGTAAATAACGAAGTTCGTTTAATGAAAAGTAACTATGTTTATTTCTATAAAACTATTAATAAAGGTCAGGTTAGGATTATTGATTCAAGCACTAAACGCGCTAAAGAGATATCTTTGTTTTAGATATATTCTCTATATTAAACTCTACGAAAATTAGGGCCCAATTAAAAGAAATATATATTATTTACTATATATTATTAATAATATTATTAACAAACAAACAAAAAATTAAGGTGCAACCGGAAATGGAAGAATTAGAAGTGAATATGGAACACAATGAAGATGCTCAGTCAAACAAATCTGAGAAGCATTTAGGGAGATTGAAATATAAATTAGATTACGATTTCCAACAAAATCAGGTGTTGGATTGTTAAAAAAATTATATAACTCTTTACTAAACTTTTTCGAAATATCCTATATTATTATACAAAATTTAAAGTTAAAACCTAAGTTAATCTAATTTTGTAAATAAGATGGAAAATATATACCACGTGGAAATTTAAACAATATAATCCAGAGTTATGAGTGGATAAATTTCTTTAAAAAGAGTTCAAGCCATCTAAAAAGCTATTTTCTAAAAATCTATTTAATCTTTTTATAGTTGGCAGTATCGGTGATAGAAGCCCAGGAATTACCGGGGATGGATATATCTGGAACATCTGATCCATACGTGAAGGTTTATCTCATGCCCGATAAAAAGAAGAAATTCGAAACGAAAGTTCATAGAAAAACTTTGAACCCCGTTTTCGACGAAACATTCATTTTTAAAGTAAGATTTATTTACGAAAAAAATATTAACAATTTTTCAAAATTTAAGGCTTTCATTTTTTATTGACTAACATTCTATTTTAGTAATATTATTCCTTAAATTTACATGATCCCCACAGGAAGGCCAAAAAAAATTCCGTTTTGAAATATTTATAACCCTAAAATGTTTTTTTTTTTTTTTTTGACGGGTAAATTCTCTCTTTATTTCAATAGTTGCTGATATAATAAGTTATCAAAAGTTTATAGCAAATAATAAATTTTTTTTATATGGTAAAATTAATAAAGGTAAAAAAAATATAAAACGTATCACTCGATTATTATTTTATGAAATTTCCTATTTAATCAAAAAGATATACCGAACTTAGTAACCACAATTTTTTTAGAATTAAATAAACTCCTTTTTATATAAAAAAATACATCAAAATTATATTAAAATATTGAAACGTAATAAATAACCCATCAAAATCATTTGTTTCTCAGAACGCAATAGATGGATTCCAATTGTGTTAGACAATAAAGATCGTTTTCTTCAAATTATCATAAATTTTAACGTTATTCCTAACAAAATTAGACGATTATTTATTAAATTGAAAAATGTTGAAATGAAGATCTTGTACTGATCATACACATCTTTTCATAGAATAAAAATTTTAAAAAGAGTTATAAATATTTCAAAACAGAGCGTTTTTTTGCTCCACTCGATATATAGATTCTTTTAAATCATGTTATCAGTTTAATGATGAAAAAAAATGGCGAAGCAACCAGTCTATATTGACCCTTTAACAATCCCCCCCCCCCACAATATTTTTTAATCCTTCAATTCTACTTTCACTCCATAGGCGTAATCAGATTTAGCTAATTCCCATAAATTTTATTGTAGATTTTTAGGTGCACTTATTGAAGGCCTTTGGCTATGTTATACAAAATAATTATGATTATTACTTATTTTTTTTATTAAAATACTTTTTTTCTGAAAATTTTGAAATATAGTTATTATTTCAAAAAATTAACTTCTACTCATTAATATATTTAAATGATTGTTTATAGAGATATTTTGCATATATTATTTGTGGAAGGGGAGGGGGGTTGAATGTGTGTAGGGAAGAATATTTTTAACTTGAAATGATATTTTGAAAACAGGCAAATTTCCATGGTGGCTCTACGTCCTCCCTCCGCTATGTCTATCCTACCTCCTAAAGATATATGAAAGCTAATAAGCTAGACTCCTCTTTTTATACATACTATGTATATAGATATACCATTATAAAGTGACCAATCTGCCTATCCAGAATTTTACTATGGGGGGGGGGGGGGGGTAAAAAACTATTAGGTGATTTTCCCCATAAATTTTGTTGGAGATTTTTAGGTACACTTATTAGGCCTTTGACTATATTAGATTTTTACAAAAATATTTGGGTTTTCATTTTTATTTTTGTTAAAATTGCTTTTTTTCTAAAATTTTGAATAATAATCGTAATTTTAAAAGGTTTTTAATTTTTACTAATTTTTCTTTAAAATTCTTAATTATAATTATATATTATATTTATCTTTGGGGAAAGAGGGGTGGAATTATTATGAGCTTGAAATGATATTTACGAAAACAGGAAAATTCACCATGTGGGGGAATCCCCTTCCCACCATTGGTTAAACGCCTGAGTTGACACCTTAAGTGTGAAGGATACCTTATTATTAGTATGTTTAACCTACCTTTATATAATTGAAGATGCCATATTCAGAACTTGGAGCCAAGACGCTCATATTCGCTATTTACGATTTTGATCGATTTTCTAAACATGATCAAATAGGGGAAGTAAGACTTCCGTTGAAGCATATAGATCTTGGTCAAGTGGTTGAAGATTGGAAAGATATAACTTCGGCACAAGTGGAAGACGGAAAAGTTTATAATTAACCTTAATAATGTGTATCGAAAAATATTATTCTGTTTTTAGGTTTTGTTTATAGTTTTTAAAACAAAAATTTAACTATTTAGAAACACTTACAATCAACTTTTAATTAACTACATAAAGATGACTACAATATTATTTATTATAAACGTTAAATTTCATTAATTATGTAGGGAAGCCACTTGGGGGATATTTGCTTTTCATTGAGGTACGTTCCGACTGCTGGAAAATTAACAATCGTTGTATTAGAAGCCAAAAATCTCAAAAAAATGGATGTGGGTGGTTTGTCAGGTTAAAAATATTTCGTTTTATTTTTATGAGATAAAAAAAACAATATATAATTCTGGAAAAAGTTGGGAATATTATAAATTCCTTGATAATGATGATAATATAGTCACGTTATTAAGATACACCTTTTGGGATGGTGTAATGTAAAAACCATAATCTAAAAATTTTTCCTCCATTTAAAAAAAAATATTACGCTTCAACAGATCCTTACGTAAAAATAGCTCTGATGCAGAACGGAAAGCGGATAAAAAAGAAAAAGACTAGTATCAAAAAATGTACCCTCAACCCTTATTATAACGAGTCCTTTACGTTTGAAGTGCCGTTCGAACAAATCCAAGTTATTTCATTTCATGTCAATCATCATTTCCTCAAATTTAATAGGGGTTTTAAATTATGATCATTCAGATCTGGTTGTATAAATAGCACAAGGCCAAGTTTGTCGATCAGAAACAGTGTTTTAAAAATCCTATAAGATTTTTTGGAGATTTTTATAATTCAGAGTGATCATAATCATTTGTTAATAATTTGTGATTTATGGAAGATTTTGTGCTTAAAAATCGCAAAAGATTTACTTATTAAAAAAGAATTTTTACAAATAAATTTTTGTAGGTAAAATAATTACATTCTTAAAAAAAATGTCAATATCTTTGAAGATTTTATATTTTGAAGAGCATTTCAAACTTTGAAAAGTGAGACAGACGCTTAAAAAATATATATAGAAATATAACCATAAAATTCTTTTACAAAAATATTTTCCAAATTTATCCCAAAAGAAAGTGTCTTTAATAATAACGGTCATCGATTACGACAGAATAGGAAGTTCTGAAGCTATCGGGAAAGTTGTATTGGGTTGTAATGCGACAGGTGTCGAACTCAGACATTGGAGCGATATGTTAGCTCAGCCAAGAAGACCTATAGCTCTATGGCATACACTTCAAGAAATGGATGATTAATTAAGAGGTTAATAAAAACAATTAGTTTCTTTCTCTCCAACAATGTTTTTTATAAATTAGATAATATTAAGCCATAGAAATTTCTTATTAATCTTTTATATTTTTTTTTAAAATATTTTATTTTTATGTAAATTGATATAGGAATTTCCTGGTATAAGATATCCATATTCATGAAGTGGAATTTCGATTTATCAAAAAACCAACAACCGCCGAATCTTCACACAATCTCTCTCTAAATAAAATCGACCATTATTTTTCATATCGTAATAAGTCATTTAGAAATATTTTTATTTGTACAAAATACGGGAGTTTGTTATCTAAATTTATATTCGATTGAAGAAGATACTGGAACATGGCATCATCCTTATATCAATATTATTATATTTTATGCTCGAATTATTATAATTTTATGTAAACGTAAATATGTATATTTCCAGTCTTTTTTTTAAAAAATATAGAATAATTTTTTTTTGAAAGATTAGATAATATGGAGGTAATATTCATATTATAGGTGATTATAAAAGAAAGTGCAACAAGAATTAAATTTTAAGAATATTATTTTCATTTTATTAATATCTTGAGTTGCTAAAAATAAAGCAAAATTTCTAAGTAAAAATTAAAAAATAAAGTCAAGATATATATCATTTTTTTTTTACCATCCTCTAATTGTCTATTATTTATTTATTAACCTCTATTTCAATATAATGGAATTTATTGAAATTATTTTATACTTAGCGCAAAGTGTTCCCTTTATGAAGCAGGGTCTTATTCTTATTTTTTCATTTACTGGTTAAAAATAAATATAAATTGGGTGTGTTTTGAATGTAAACTAAAAAAGATAATAAGACTTATCTAAATTTCTATTGCATTAGTGGTGTTCACACTTTGTAAGAGGAGAAGAATTTACGTAATTATTAAAATTTTTATTTTATTGTAATAAATTTTTATTTTTGCATCTAAATGGCTATTGTTGATTCATTGATCACAAATTTATGACATTACAATACAATAATATAGTTTTTTTTTTCGTTTATATGTCGTTTTAAGGTAAATATATTTTTTAATTTGATTTATATATTAATACATGCCATTTTTTTTATATCATAACAAGGTTTGAATTTTTTTATATATTTTGTGATATATAGATTTAGATTTATAACTATATCTTATTTAACAGACAACTTATGAACTATATTTATTATACAATAAAACCTTTAAAATATAGAATATCATCTGAGATATATTCAAGTGTGGATAGTATCATTTAAAACTTGACAGGTCATAGGACATGCATGGGACGCATCCATCTCACGTATTTCCTCGATCTGACGGTTTCTTTATATATTTTAAATTCCAAAATTATTATTTTATATTTACCTCATTACAAATAAGAAAATATTGAATTATCGATTAAAATTATAATTTCATTATGGAAAAATAAAATTTTTAAAAAAATTTATAATAATTATAAAAACTCTAAACTATAAAATGTCTATAAATTATATATATTTTTTAATTCTGTTCCCAAAAAGATTTAGCGCCTATAAAAATTCGTATTTGTATTTTTTGCCTAATATAAAAAAAGTTCCTGGCCTTGTGTGAAATATTTTATTTTGTGGCCTGTTTTTAAATTTAAAAGTATTGATTTTTTTACAATGGGACAGGACAAAAAAAAATTGATTTTATTTTTATTCTCCGTTCGTTTGAGTGGATTATAAATATTATTAACCAGGAATGAAGATACATAAAGTGTATCGAGAAATATTGACTTTAGATCATCTGGCTTTAAAACATAATCTGAAGATAGGCCGGAAGGCTCTAGGTAATTTGGCATGTAGGCGGCTGGACAGGCTTGTATAATTAGGCGGGTGATAGAGACATGGCGCTAATTTGTTCCAGCACATAAAAGTGTTAAGGCTTTAAAAAGTTTTTTTTGAAGAGGGGAATTTAAGATTAATTTAGCCCTCCGTAAATTCATTGAGTCATTTTTGGAGCTATAAGGCCTAATATTTTAATTTTTTTAATCTGAAAGGGATGAAAGAACATTGTGCTAATGTAAACAGCTTATCTTGAATGGTAGTGGCGAAAGGGCTGAAATTATATTAGCTAAATTGCAACTTGCGCGTCTGTTTAAAGTATGAATCAATGCATGCCAAATATATGAAATAGATTTCTAAGATACCGATTCTATACGAATTCTATATAACGAGAGTAAAGAATTCACGAGCCACACTTCCCATGTATTTATTATTAATTTTTGCCATATTTTAATATTATATCATTATTGTCCTTTTTTCAATCCTATCAATCACAATCTATTTACAAAAGTGCTTAATATGTTTACAGCACGATTGTCGTGTCGTTCATTGAATTAAGCTCGACGTCTATTATTAATTTTTTGAAACAAAAATCTTTGCCCTTTTTTTAATTCCTTATCAGTTGAGAAGTTTATATATGAAAAAAACTTTACATCCGACGTATTATTTAAATTAGAATCTACAATATCGTTGTGATAACCAGAGTTACCAGGTCCACACTATCAGCGTGAGACTCACTTATTTTTTTGTTTACATGGAGACACCTTCCTCCCACAAAACTTCCATGGTATACCGCTAAAATCTCCCGAAATTTTAACATTCGCATAAAAAATTTTAATTTGTAAATAATTTATTTTTGAATATTAAAAAAAAATTTCAAAAAATATGTCAAGTTTGTCAATTTCCTTCTTCCTAATATGTTTTATTCAATAATATCACCATATCATAATAATCATGTGTTCGTGTTACTAGATTTTAGGAATTAGGTTAGGAACATTTTATCTGGATTGCACTATATTTACCTTGAGGTCGGATCTCCTCTTAATTAAAAATTATAATTATATTCATTTAAAATACATAACATAATTATAAATTATTTAGGACTAATTTCTATAAGATAATTATTTTATTTATTACAGTTCACTTTGAGCATGAGAAATTAATTATCATTATAACCAGTTATTTAAAACATAGCATTGCATAACTCCCCAATATTTTCGAATTATGAAGAAACCATTATTAGTTAATTCCCATTTCAACAAATCTCAGGCATAGGCACTGCGTATATGATATGAAATGGTGTTAGTTATTAAGATCCCTATCAAATAATTATCACTATTACCCACCATTGATAGAATTTTAAAATATTACAAACCTCTTAAAAGATATTTTTTAAATGGAAATTATAAAAGCTATCCAAATATTTTGAAAGAATTTTTGTTGATGAATTGGCGGAAGCATATTTAGGCATGGTTTCACATTTAGGAAATCTAAATGCGGTTAATATGCAATGGAAATCACAAAAATCTTCAGAGCTAAAAATTCACACTAAATTTTATGGCCCTATTGTTAAAAATGTCATTTTCAATGTTAAGCCCAAATTAATGGCTTTTTAAATGAAGCAAATATTTTTACTAAAACGATTTTAGAGTATTGGTAATCAAAATATGAATTTAATAATTCACTTGCAAATGTATAAATGTTATGACCTTGGAACAAAAACTATAAATTGATGGATTTTGTAATTCGATAAATATAATAGTTTGAGAATGTTATGTATACGTATGCACTACAAAATGTAACTGACTTTATTAATGTCCATATGAGTAATAATAATAATTAATATGGGGAGGGGTAACTAAGCCATATCACAAACCCTGGCCAAAAAAATTTTCTCTCACAATTTTCATACTTCTCTCGTAAAATAAGACATTTTATCAAATCCTCCCATTTGAAAATTTTGATCTGGCAACCCTGGTGATAGCTCACTTTGTAATTCTAAAATATTAAACTCAAAAAAAAATTATTATGATTGCATAATGGGGCTTTAAAACCACGACGTATGATTATTACAGGATATAATTATATCATAATAATAAATAAATTAAATAATATAAATAATTTTTTTATTTATCTACATTAATGTTTTTGAGATATGTTAAATATCTTATTTACCTTTTTATAATGTGTAGAAAATTGATAGCTATTTTTTACGAATTTGTTGTAATAAAAAGATAAATTAAAAATATATAATAGATATCGTGGCCGGAATTAACATTAGAATGAAAAAAAATAGATTGTTGCTTGAATTACCTTCCACACGCAATTGAATCAAAAATTTATTTATATAAGATATTTATTTGTGGAACGTGAAATGAGATACCTCAAAATAAGACCTTTGATATGGTATGCAACTTTCTTTTAATGAGTTTTCTTTTGTAGCCTCAATCTTTAAATAAGATTACCACCATGTATTAGTACTGTATTTTTTTAAAATTTGGTGTGCACATTAGCTAATCATTATTATTAGCCAAATATTTGTCTTATAGTAACTGACGCTAAGAGTTGAATAAATTAATATAAATATCCTACTATCCCCTTTTTCTAAGCATTTAAAAAAAACTAGTAAGTATTTTTCCCAGATGTCTTTTTGATCGGAGGTATTTTCAGTGTATTTTGGTCTAGTATATTTTTTCACGGGGTACTTTTGTGTTTAATAACGAGGGCACTTCTGATCAATTTTTATTAGTAATTTTACCAAATAAGCAAATCATTTTCATTAAAACATTTTTTCTTTAGTAATTTTAAACTGTGAATTCTGTTGAGGAATAAATACAAAATAAGTATTAAAATAGAATGAGAATGTTAAGCAGAGAAATACTAAAAATATATTTTGGAAGAAAATATGATAATTTTTAATGTAAAATTCCGTGGAAAATGTTTCAACTAACCTTTAGAGAGTCGAATAATTTTGTATGGGCCCATAGTATTCTAAAGAAAGTTATTGCAATTAGTTGATATTCGACCTTAATGCACTGATTATCATATCATTCTGGTAAATTTAAAAAAAAATATGTCAAAAGGGTTATAAAAGTGGCCTTTGGGGGCGATTATTAAGAAGGACCACATAAAGATTTTAGCCAAAATATTATTTTGTAAGCCTTATAATTTTGCTCATAAATGCCATCTGCCAAACTTGAGGCTTTCGTAAGATTATTTTGGTTATAATCTTAATCGTTTCTAAATATCGTCCAGTCGGATTTTTATCAGGAGTAGTCGAGAATTATGAAAGTATATGAATAAAGGATACTTTATTTTTTAGAAATGTTGGGCACATTTAAATTTATTTATAAATTTTTTGACTTTTTTTAGAAAATAAGTTTTGTTTATAAAAAAAAATTATATTATCCATCTTTTTGGTCCATTTTTTTGAATAAATCTGGACGAGTCCCAAAAATTATATCCTGAGAAGGAACGCATCCCAAGATTGGTTCCGTTGTGGAAGGAGGTGACCTTCTCTACTAAACGAGGCAAGTGCTATGTTGGTTACTTTATAATCTCGAGAAGGAAATCAGTTTTCAAAATAGCATCCTAAAAGTATAATATTAAAATGATTTTTTAAAAAAAATATGACGAAAAAGTTAAAATAAAATCTGGGGGGAAAAAAATGATAGACTATGAACAAAACTAGTTTTGTTAAAAATCACATTTTCGGGTCGATTTAAAAAACCGGTCCGATTAAGATTATACAACCAAAATAACATTATGTAAGCCTACCCTAACCCTAACGATTTTGCATATAGCTGGCAGAAATGCTTGGACATCGATTTGTCAAATCTCGACGCTTACATAATTTTTTAATAGCTAAAATCCCCAAATCGGACTTTTTAACAACACTAATGATGCCATATTAAAATAGAAACATTTTTATACAGAAAATTATCCCCCAATTTTTTTTTTTAACCTCTTATATGGAATCAACTATAAAACCAATAAAAAAAATCAATTAAAAATGGAAGTATTTGTATTTTAAATGGGAAAAAAGTATAAAAATATTTATTGATGATTTTAGTAAAAAAAAAATTTGATGATTATCAGGAGTTACTAATGTACTCTAGAATCTCCCAAACTAATGAACTGATGGCCAAAATAAAAAATAATTTAATTATAAAATGAATAATATACTGACGAAAATCGGCTGCTGTTTTAGGTTAAAGCAGCAGGCATCACTAAAAGAATGATCATTTTGTATTGGATACACATTCTTTCATTCTGCAAATAAAAAAAACAAATAATCTTATTATTTTTTGATTATTAACATTTTATATATTCTTACTCTACTTTTTATAGCCAATTAAAATTATCCGGCACCCTAAGTAGAATTACTTTGATAAATAATGAAGCAAAAATACAGCAAAAAGCACATTCATCTAACAAATAGGAAGGCTACTAGTTGAAAAGCAGAATAGAGGAACCAAACATACAGAATAGACATTCTAAACGCTATTAAGAATGCAAAATCTTCTCTCATCATTATCCATAATTATAGAAATAATAAGAAAATACAAATTCAAAAAAAGGAAGATAGAAGTGATAAAAATTTTTATTCTTTGCTCTCATATAGGCTAAAAATTTAGCGGGAGAACTTAAAATAAAAGAAACTCCATATTTGAAACTTTAACAAGAAAAGACAAAATAAAAATACATATAAATTACAAATGTGAGGATGAGTTCATTCATATTAATAAGGGCCTTTACAATCTCAAGGGACTCAGAAAAATAAATTATTTTTAATTATTTTCAAAATTTTCTTCTCTTTATCAAATAATATAAAGTCAACACGAAATTTATATAAGAGTAAAAAAAATTCCAAATTATTAATATAAAGGTTAAATATAGTGTAAAATGATAAGAATAAGAAAGAAAAAGTGAATCTAGCGAAGGTCCGTGGAGAGAAGACTACCATTAAAATTTTTGATAATTCACTTTAAGGATAGCTATAAATTTCTGTCTAAGGAAGAAACCTTCTCGCGGCCAGTAAGTTTTCGGATATGAGAACCCTAAGTTCTTGAAGAAGGATAATGCAAGTTTACCAAAGGAGGTTAATGTAGTGAATATTATTTTATTTTTTTTAACAAACGTTATCCAAAATTACTTTCCTTTTTTTTAGCTAACATTATCATTAAATTACCTTTTTTTTTAGTGGTATAAAAAAGAGTTAAAAATTTCGAGGGTGCTCTTCAAATTTTTGAAGGGGCTCGAGCTTCTGCACCCACCCCCTCTCCCCAGTGACGTTGACAAATAATCTATGGTATTTTGATTCGATTAATCAACAAACCAATTAAATCACCGTCTGATAACTAAAAAAATTTAGAAGTGAATTATTTCGCCAAAATTAAACCGAGTGAAATAAAAAAATATTATAAATTTTTGTTAAAATCAATTAGTTTATTGCGTAAAAACCACTTTTCACATGAAAAGATAAAAATTTATTATGTGTTTACTTTAGTCATTCAATAAAAAAAGAAAATTAATTTTTTCCTAAAAAAAAGGTTAAAGAGAGGCGCCAACATAAGTTGCCTTGAATGAATAGTAGTCTAACCCAGTCATTGACTATGAGGACAACTCCCTAAAATTTTAATAGCGTCATTGATTCATATCCCACCACATCCCATCGAACCCCACCCTTTGTTAAAGGTACAACACAAATGATTTATGATTGTAGGATGTATATACGATTTAATTTTTTTTACTCATCAATATAATTTTAAAAAAATGTAATACAATCAATTTATTCTTTAAATTCGGATATCTATTATTTAATAAATGTATAAATTACTATATAGTAAATTGGTAATAATTACTTATATTATTAATAATAATAGTAAAATTTATTTTAAAAATAATTAACAATGAAAACAAATTTTATTTGATTGAAGGAGCAATTTAATTTTCGTAGGTAAAAAAAAAAGGTGAACATTATCAACAATATCCGTTATTGGACAATCGGACTAAATGAGTGAGCGAATAATATTTGGAAAAATCTTCGAGATTTATCTTGGTCATATGCTGGAACTGGCATGGTGATGATATGCAGGATTTGGAAAGTCCGACCAAATTATTTTTATCGTTTTTCACCTTTTTGAGCTTTAAAGAATTTTGTCTTTTGACGAAGGACGAATCGATATAGGAATTAGAGAACACCGAATTTCTTTTCTTGGAGTTTAGATTTTTAATATTACCTACCATACCCTGAGGATGTATCTTGTGAATATTGTCCAAAGAAAGAGCCTTGTTAGAACGGCCCCTGACATTTTCCTTGGTTGTTGAGGTGATATCAGCGGAATCCAAGGCACTGTTTTTACGCGAATACGAAATTTTATTACCCTTTTCTCGGCAACTATTGACGCGTTTAAAGCTCTGATTCGACGCCACCGGTTTCGTATCGAATGATGCCACGTCTCCATTGTTGATGATCCTCGAGGCGGGATCGATCGATTTACGAGTGACCGAATATTTATCCATTTCGATCGCTCGTTCTTTCACAAAATTCTGCAAAGTTTGAGCCAAATTAGCGGACTCGAAGGGATCCGCAAACGCCAACGCTATTCGATCGGTTTTGTTGTTGCCAGTGTTGCCAGGATCAGCTGTTCTCGAAATAAGGTGAAATGTATTTTCTCCCCTATTATTATTATTGTTGTTATAGTTGTAAATCGCTCCCTTCTTGTTAGGGCAGCCATCGATTCGCTTCGAAATTTCGTAACGGCTCAAACCAGACCGAGGAATTAGGCGCAGGTATTTCTTGGCGCAGTCAGTATGAAAATCTATTATATCCGCTTTCCATAATTGGAAAGCAGTTTCGGGTTCGGCTATGACGAGGGAAAGCTTGGAAGGAAAATTTCGCGAGATCGGCGATGTATAAAGCAGTTTGAGGGGTCCGTCTTTGGTCAGGGAATCGAAATGGGGATTCGGCAAAATTTGCGTAGTTGAGTGACAATCTAGAAAGCGGATTTTCTTGTCGGCCAGAATTTCGTTTTTAAATAAAGTATCGTCTTTAAAGTATTTTGTAACGTTCCTCACAGGGTTTTTAGTCATTTTGGGAAACGTTTTTATCTTTCTAGAACCATCGTTGGAACTGGTTAGTATGAGAAGAGGTATTCCGCTGAATTTGTAGACCCAATTTCCCTTCGTTTCAACGTTATTCTCATTCACCGGGAAATCATGGGCCGTTTCTGCTTTGTTAGATTTGAAAGTTGAGGCACGGTTATGATTAACATTATTTACCAACGAGTTACATGTATCGCTTTTGAAGGTCAAGAAATCGCATCGGCTGCAACCCACGTGCAAAAGTTTTGTGCCTCTTCCCGAATAAAATACCCTTAGTCGGTCTTCTTCGCGTTTGGTTATATTGTTAAAAGTATTACCCCTGTTTATCAGATTTCCGCAAGGATTAGGTGGGGGTGGTCTTTCTGACAGGAAGGAAGCTACCTCGAAATCCTTATCGCTGAATCGATCCATATCCGGAAAATTTATGGCAGGGAATTTATCCGATTTCTTCACAAAACATTCTTTCGAATTCATCGATTTGTTCATCGCTGGAAATGGCTGATAGCTATTTGTAGAGGCTGGGTGAGCCTTAATTTGGGGTGCTTTGGTCGAAAATGTGGTAAGGGTAGGAGGGGCGATAAAGCCAGCCATCGTGGTGACACAGTTATCTCTCTCTAAACCCCTCTTTTGAATATTTTCACCCATGGAGGCTCTTTCGAAGCCGAAAAGTTTGCATCGAGCGTTCTTGTCGCAGTTTGAATATTCGGCGTTCTCGGATTTTATTATAGCGGAAAGCAACGTTTTTTCTGCCCCTTCCTCCATTTTGTCCATGTCAGTAATTTGGACATTCGAAAAATCCTTCATCGATTTATTTGATTGGCTCTCGGCGTATCTAGACGTCAACGCATAATTACCATAATTAGATTTAAACAGTGGGCTCGGTTTAACAACCTTAAGTCTATCAGCTGGTCTCCGCAATTGTGCATAGAGTTCCTGCTGATTATCACGCAACGGATTTAGTAATCCCGAGCTAATAGAATCGAAGGGGTTTCGGCTTATATTCAACCTCACGAACTCTTCATCAATGCAGTTTATATTGTCGACTTTGACAGGGTTAATTGTTGTCGCAAGATTTTTATCTCTCAAAGGCTCGTTTTGGCATTTGGGAAGATGATTATAATCGTAGAATCCGCTATCGCTAAACATACCCATCGGTGATAAGGGTGGCGTTAATTTATGAATTTTATAGTTGTCTAAGGGATAATTTTTGTCGGAGGACGAAGAATAATATCCATTGGAATAACGAGAATAAGGGGACCCTTCACCTGTCGTATCATCCATTTTTAGGTCGAGCATTCGATAATGATGTTAGATATATCTGTTAAAATATATATTTTTTAAAAATACGATTATATAATTTAGTTTAATTTTTTGGGATTTCTTATCTATCTCCATTCCCCCTTTACCAAAATAAATGTTAACGATACATGTGGCTTTTGTTTTGTATAAAATTTTCCTTTTCATAAGGTAGAAGGGATAGGGTGAGGTTCAATCTAATTCAAGATAAAATAAATACTCCAAAATGAATCCAAGATAATCTCTCTCTCTCTCTAAAATTGTTATAAATTTTTTTTACTAACTAAATATTTTAATATATTTTTTAAAACTTTTTTTTAAAAAAAAAACCCTATATTATTTTTATAAAAAATGAACTCCAAACTCCTTTTTAAAAGTTGCCGATATATTGCATTAAATTTATTTTCATATAACGTTCATTGAAGTAGAGGGGAACCAAAAAATAAAAGTACTTTTAATATATTTTCTTTTTTAAAACAGAGTGTAATGTTTGATCAATATTATACTACATATTATTTGTTAAATTAATGTCGTTATTATGTCTCTGCCAAAAGTAAATAGCCGTTAATCCTATTTTAATTATATATATTTTTTTAATATGTATATGACAATGACATGTAGGTGTGTTTATATTATTAAACTTATATCAACGATATAGTACACATAGTGTATATCATAGATATGATAAGGGGTTAGTTTAGTACTCATTCGGTAAAATAAATTTGAGTTTTTTAAAAAAAAAATTATTTATAATGATCAGAAATTAAAATTATGCCAAGATTTTATACACTTTTAAATGTAAAACATTTTCTTTGTTTTAAGGATTAACAAAAACAGGGTCATTTGCCCCGGGTCATCGATACCCCGGAATTATATTCATATACCCGAAGATAATTTTATTTTTTTCGCACCTAGTTGCAAATTATTTTCAATTAAATAATAAAAAAAGACCTACTTCTTTTTACTCTGAGACGAGAGAATTTAACATAAAGCAGCCGATGACGTCCAAAATTGATTTGCTTTAGCAATACGTTTTAAGATATAACTGTCCAATAAAACGCTTCGAATAATTGCGTTTTATTACAATAACTTACAATAAATCCCAAAAATTTTTACAATCGTGATTTTTTTATATTCTTTTCTTTCTATTTACATCTTTTTTTTTTAATACAAATTGATTAACTTTGAAAACAATAAGACACAGGGTCAAAAATACCCCATATTATAAATAATTCCCCCTTTTTGAGTATCTAACCGTGGCTTTGTCTAGGGGGAGATGTAGTATTGAAGAAAAAATTTTTTACTACTTTCTTAAAAACAATTAACTGAAATTTTAGGTTTTTAAAAATATTATAATTAAATAATATCGAGACAAAAGAGTTGGTATAAAAGTTTTAAAATGCCATTTTTTATATTTTAAAAAAATAATTAACAATGAGGCAATAAATTATTTATATTTAAGGAGTTTCCTATTCTTTCTCAACTTTGTCCAATTATGTTATGATATGAAAAATAAAAAGTTTTAAAATAAAGAAATAAAAATCTTAAATTAAGGTAAACAAAAAAATTTTAATTGCCTTTTTCATTGATTTTTTTTGTGAATTGTTAAATTAATTTTTGATTAATTAATTTGTACAATTTTTTTTATTAGCATCTCTGAAAAATAGTTTTTAATTGAAATTTTGTTTTTTTTTGTTTTGAGTTTTATTTTAAAATGATGTATTTTCAAATGGCAACGTGTAAATATTGGTAATAATTTTTTATGCCATATAAAAATGACAAATAATCTTTTATTGAATTTGAATATCCTTTAGAATTATAGAAAAATTTCCAAATACCTAATCTGCCTAAATTAATAATACTTTATTTTCTCTTTCTTTACGTTAAAAATAAGATTAGATTAATAACCCTAGAATGGTCTGCAACGGGCAGGTAAAAATGGGCAACATTTTAAGAATCAAGACTGGGCCTAAAGAAATTAAAAATCACTTATAGAAATTTCCCTTGACAAAAAGACACCAGACAGAATTACCCCACCAAAAAAATTAAATAACGCATAAAGGCGAACATTTTTAAAAATCTCACCTTTTAAAGAAATTTCTAAAATTGAGGTATTTTTTATTCGCTACATTTCTAACCTTGATTCAAACATTTAAAACCCAGGCTGGAGGTAAAAATAAATTTACAGAACTAAACCTAGGATTTAATATTATAAAAATCTTGATTAAGGAAATAAATTTAAGTATTTTATAAGAAAATATTTTTATTCAATTCACTTTTCTTAAAACTTTTTGACAAAATATAACTGAAATTATAATAATTCTAAATTTTAAAAATTCGGGAAAAATTAAGATGAACTTGACAATGAAAATAAAATATAATGAATTAATTACCTATAATAAAATAATATGAATGAATCTGATTTGATAAATCGATAGGATTTAATTATATATATTTTAATATCATCATAAATTATTTTAAGGTAATAAAAATAAATATAATTTGGCCAGTACAACAAAATAAGTTTATTTTAAACTAATAAATATTTTGGTAAAAAAATTTAAATTAATTTATAAATCGTAAATTTTATTAGTATTTTATATTTTTATTTATTTATTTTTTTAAATATTTTATTTTTATTTATTATGTAATGTGTATAGAATAGTTAAAATAAATAAATTAACTAATAAACTAAATCAATTTATTTGTACAAAACTAAATTTGTTTTAATAAAACATTTGAGATAGGTGCCAGCTAAGGTGAGAAATTTTTTTTTTTTCAAAAATATATCAAAACATTTCTTACGAAAATATATTATTTAATAAAAGTTTTATTTCTTACCTGAGAAAATAAATATTATAATATTTATATTTTTAATTTAACCTGAGAAATCGAATGTGTGAGAAATAATATAAAAATTAAAAAGTTTTGTGTTTAAAAAAGCAAAAGTAATGTCAATTTAATTTTTTAATATATATTTTATGTAAGGAAACTTCTTTATTTTAACGGATATAGGTCTAAAAAATACTTATAATAATATTATATTTATTTATAAATAAAATATATATTATAATGTACAACAACAAGAGGTCAATTATGATTTTATAGTAATATTTATTATTTATCTATAATCTATTTATATATTATTTGTAACAAAAGTCACCATATGTGATATTTAATGGGAATTACTATAACAAATTTTTAATGTAGATAAGGGTTATTATAACTTTTTTTTAATGATTGTATACTCAACTTATATATATTTACATTCTAATAATGAGCCGAATTTCCGTTTTCTTAAGAAACTAAAATAAAATATTTGATTATTAAAGTAATGACTATATTATTGTCTATCTGGTTAATGTATTATCTTATCATTTCTTATTTTTTTTATTTCGCATCGGAATTAAAAAGTTTGATAATGTATATTAATATCGGTATATTGGGGTTTAGTGTTATTATTGAAAGGTAAATACAGTATCAATATGATTTATTGTAAAATATTTCCAATATATTTGTAACAACTTTTTTTTATATATGTTATCAATATGTTATTTTTACAATTATTATAGAAAGTCAAACAATTTTATAAGAAAGTTACAAATAAATATATTTTACAAAAAATCGTACACACACTGTAGTTGCAATTACTAGTTACATTATTTTGAAAGTAGCTACCCACAGTTTAACTTCAAAAGTAACTAGTCATTACATTGTAACTGTAAATTACCTTTACAATCCATCATTTTTAATATAAAATTTCACTAAATAATTATATGTAATGGAAATAATTTAATAATATATTTGCATCGTAAAAATTGTATCAGCTCATTTTAATATCTTTTCATAAAAATTGAGCTTAATAAATTTTTAGAAGCTAGCCCAATTTTTGAAAATTGCTGAAATACAAAAGAGTTAATTTTAGAAATGCACCTTATTGAGTGTAATTTTTTTTTTTTCAAAATTGGGGGTTTTGTCAAGCGCCATTTCGTCCCTGGGTATTTTTGTCCAGGAATTTTAGTCCGTTACTCAAATTTTAATATATTTTTTATTTTATTTTAAACAATAAACTATTTACAAAATATCAGAGTTGTTAAAAGATACTTTTTAAATGGATCTAGATACAGATACATCATCGAAAATAATATCTAGATACCGATATTTTAATCAAAAATCTATCTAGATACAGATACCACATTTTTATATCTAGATACAGGATCTAGATACTTGTATCGAGATCCTTTAACAACTCTGCAAAATATGTATCTACAGATGTGTTTAATTTTTTTCATCGAAAAATTAGGTTCCCAAGAATAAACAAATTCGGAGCATTTTAGTGAGATATAATAAATGGTAGTAGTTTCATATTCGGAAACTCGGTCTCGAAGATTTTTAAAAGGAATTAATCCAATATTTGGGCCAAGAAATATTTAGCAAAGCCTGTTTTGCTCGCTCGTTAGATAACAGAAAGGATTCGACATTTATTAACTAATTCTCGAGTCTTCGTATAATATTCTTAATTTAAAATGGGCCAAATTTTAACAACATCAACTAGTAGAGATAGGGTAATACTAATAAAATTTAATTTACATTTCTTATAAAAAAATAAATAATTTTAACTGAAAATCGATTAAAAATTTAAATGTCTTAACCAGACCAAAATATAAATGCTCAATATTTTATCGTTCAAAATTATCTTTTCTAATCCCCAAAATATTATGATGAAAAAAAAAAATTATATTGATTTTTATAAAATGAATATTTTACTTTCGCAAGTTATTAATCAAAAATGCCAAGATTAAATAATTTGTAAAGGGAAATTGTAATCGTTGATTTCTTTTTTGATAATGTAAAAATATTTTAAAATAAAAATAAGCAAAAAATATTTGATAACTAATTATAAAACAATATATTTAATTTTTTTTTCTCCCTGATCTAAGAAAGGAATAATCAGAAAATATAATATTTTTTTCTAAAAAATTACTATATTATAAAACAATATTAAAAAAATAAAACAAATAGGCACAAAAACGCACAATATGTTAAATTTATGAAATATTATTTTTATAAAAAATAAAATTAATACGGAATTCGTGACCAAAGTGGCTTTTCTTGAATTTAGCGTTATTTGTTTCATAACCGATATTACAATGGAAATGTTATTTTCATTTTTTAAAAGTAAAGATTTAAAATTATTTCAAAATATTACATTATTTTAATTTTTTTTTTTTTCTTTTCTTTCTTTCTTTCTTTCTTTCTTTCTTTCTTTCTTTCTTTCTTTCTTTCTTTCTTTCTTTCTTTATTTCTTTCTTTCTTTCCATTTCTTTTGTTAAGCAAACTATTACGATTTTTATTTAGAGATATATTTGCCAAACCAAAGTCATTATACATACAAAACATAATGAATGAAAATGTATGGCACTTAATAATGTTTGCTTAGTATATTTATTTATTTTTCATAACATACAATAACAAAGGTGCAATTTCTAGTGTCATTTAGCATGCATACATAATACAATATCGAGAAATAAAAAAAAATAATTTAATGCACTTTAAAAAATTTACAATAAATCTGTAAAATAAATAGTTTGAAAAAATAGTATTTTATAAAGTATGACTGACCATTATATTATTTGTTATCCTTATTATATAATATATTTGATTTCACGTCATTGCATAATTACATTATTTCACCTTTGAATTTATATTCTATATTGCAATTTTTTTTTTATAAACCTTTTGAAGAATGCCCTGATTTTTGGCCAAATAAAAACATTTCAGGAGCTTGGCAAAAGGAACAAATTGTATGCATAATTTTTAAATCAAAATTCACAAATTTTTAAATATAATTTTACAGTTTTTAAACTATTTGTATAGTTTTTTTAAATTATTTTTACTGTTTTTTAAAATGATTTTCCAGCTTTTCTATCATTTAAAGCTGTGTTCTAATATGCAGTTAAATGATATTCCTTAGAAAACAATCTACCTATTTAAAAACTTTGATTTTTCTTAAACAAATCGACTAATTTACTATTCATAATTAGACCAATCGTACCGTCATTTTTATTATATCTAAGAATAGGAATAGCAGGTCTAATATCTAATGAGAAAAGTAGCTAAAACATCTCACCCTACCTTCCTAATTATTATAAATATTGTATTTTTTTTATCTTTTAAATTTAATTAAAAGTATTAAAATTTAAAAATTAAATTAATTTTAACGGCAGCTGAAATAATTTATTTAGATTTTTAATTACGATTACATATATATTTTTTAGTTTAAATTTAGATAACGAAAAAACATTACATAATTTCCCTAGTGTGGAAAAATGTTAGGTATTTTTAAATTATTTTATGGGATATACATTATAATGTAAAAAAAATTAATTTTAAAGTGGAAATTATATTTTAAAAAATATAAAAATAAAACGGTAATTGAAGGATAAAAAAAATTATAAATTATCGCTATTGTTTAGCTTCCCAAAGGCTTAAATAATGTTTTAGACCCAAAAATCTTTCTTGAAAGATACATTTTGCCATTCTACCAGGAATAAAAAGAAAAATTTTCTTTCTTTCTTTCTTTCTTTTTTTCTTTCCTTCTCCACACAATTTAAAATATTCTTAAAATGAAGTCAAAATGAAAAGGAATATTTTAAAAGAAAGAACTTAAAAAAAATACACTTTCCTGAATTTAAGAAATTTTTTGAATTTATTTTTAAAACCATTTAATATCAATTTTTTTAATTTTTTTTTTTATATAAATGAAAATAAAATATAATTATATTTCTCGAAATTTTAGAGCCAGGCAGGCCAATGATCTAACTAACTATCTCCTTATTATAATATTTTTAATTAATATAAATGGTGTTGCATTTTGAATCGTTGTTGTGTAATTGTAATTTATAAAACGTTTACTTACCATAAGATTATACCATTCCCGCTAATTTCATTGGCTTCTTTATATTTTTCTCCAAAAATTTTAACTTTTTTTCTTCTTGTAATATTATATAAAGTAAAAAGGATAAATAAATATAAAAATTGGGTATTAATTTACTTTTTAACCCCAACAAAAGAAAATTTAATGGGATTGGAGTTGTGCTTAAATCATTTTGCGTTCATAAAGAACTTTTAATAATATTCTTTTAAATAACCGCCTTTAATTAATATTGAATAAATCATTGAGCTATTAAAAATAATGATGCGGCGATGAAAGTTTTGCTTTGTGTTTCGAATAGATAGAATAAATAACCATTAAAATCTATAATATGAATTATCGTTTTTTAAATTTTTCTATATCAGATGGTTAAAATTAGTTAGTTATTTGTTCTTTAGTTTCGATGTTAAGACAATTTCGTGAGCATATTCTTCCGATATAACGATATTAAATATTCTGTGCAGACTCTAGAAAATTTTGCAACAACTAATAAATGTTTTCAAGGTTCTTTCGTTAATACATACAAAGATTTGTTTAAAAGGCATGCTAAGTTTAGCAATTTAACCCTTTAATACTCAAGTGAAAATCACGTAAATTCTATAGTGGGGATAAACCCCAATTTCGAATGAATATATTGCATTTATATTCATTATTTTGTTTTTAAATTTTGATACATGATAGAATAGAACTAACCTTAAACGTTATAAAATATTTAGTTATTTTAATATAAGCTAGCAGATAAATATTCTGGAAAAGACCCTGACAAAAAAGACACACAAGTACAAAAATAGCCTCCAACAAAAAGACACCGGACAATAATAACCCAATTTCAATTAATTTTTTAAAAATGCTTTATAGAGAGGAATTAAAAGAATGTAGTGTTTAATGTCTGATTAACTCTAGCCCACGTCATGCCTCACCATTAACCGCTTCATATGCGAGGTAAAAAATTAATTATTTTTGTAAAATTTTCCTATTTTTCTTAACATTAAAAAAATTTTTTGCCCGGTATCTTTTTGTCCTAGGAGATGGGTTATGACCAGATGTATTTTTGTGCGAAGTACTTATGACCGGTTATCATTTTAATTAATTATCATTTGTGACAAAAATTTCTAAAAAAGGGTTGAAAAATAAATTAACTTATTAATTAGCTACAAAAATTGATTAGATATTAAAACTAATATACATAAAATAAATTGAACATTTAAAAAATTCTCTCTTAAAAAAACTTACGAATTTACTCTAGTGGGGTTTCACAGACCCCGATCATTTGGGCTTATAGCTTAAAAACTACACAACCAAAATATATAAAAATTTGGAATATATATTCCAAGATACATTTTAATTTTAGCTCGCCTCCCTTAAACACACCTAAAGTATTTAAGGGGTAAACTATGATATTTTTACTGAAAACATTTCGTTATAGCTCATGTCACAAATAATATTTTCACTTCTTCTCACGTTTACTTTCTTAATTCTTTGAGGGTTAGTCATATATTTATACATCAGAATTGTTGGAAAAGAGAACCAGACCCCGAAATCCCTCAAAATTTGCTAAAATCTAAAAAATGGAATCGTAACTCTTTCTAAATTTTACCAGAAACCCAAACCGGTGTATATTCAAATTAGAGATATGATCATATGGATTATCAAGACCGAACATATTATTTAATGGACCGGGGTAATTCGGACTTAAATAATTTTCGGGTCGAACATTTTATACACAAAATACCAGACAGGGTCTAGCAAATTTTTTTATTTTTTTAATAAAATTTTGATAGCATTTTGATTTATACTCTTTGGGAAATAAATTACAATATACTTATTATCTTTGTTATTTTAAGTTTGTCTAACTTAAATATTTAAATCTATAAAAAAAAAATATATATAGTAAAAATTAAACAATTTTGATTGATTAATTATAAATGCGCAGATATCAAACACAATATTGATTTATCAAATGATTGATGTAATAAATATAAGCACCTTACAATGGGAATAAATTTAAATATGAATAAATATTAAAATCGTGATGGCCGGAAAATTCGTTTAAAAATTTCAACTAAACTTTAACGAGTAAGGATTGGGTTTAATCTTTCGTAAAATTTCCAAAGAAATTCTTATAGGGCTGAAGCAGGTCAGGCTGCATCAGTGATCTACAGATGACACTCAGACCCGAATTCAGTTTTTTACTAAGGTTGCCAGACTGATTTTTAATATTTTTTTAAAAAAAATACAAGACTTAATTAAACCAAGATATCTTTCGATGAACACTAAAATAAACAACTATTTATAATTTAGGGGAGTGGTTACAAACACTATTCTTTATGGATTGTCACTTCTGTGAAATGTCAGAATTTCTCAAATATATATACTGAATAAAAATTTGTCAAACCGGCCCGGGCCATTTATTTTTCTCCGATGAATCGGATAGTGGGCTCGGCCGGAAAATGTAAACCACTGCTTTGCATAACATTGAAGGACTGAATCTAAGAAAGATAACATTTTTTTTTCTCTAATTTTTATGAAACTCGAACCCAGAGCCTAATTTTAACACATGAACTCTCATTTTAGTCCAGGCATTAAACTTAAATTAAACAAAAACAAACTTATTATATGCATAAAAAATAAATAGAAAAATATTATTTTTAAATAGATTTACTTCTTTGGAGAATAATCTGAACATGATGATGACACTATTATTATTGGAATTATATTCCTAAATAGCTTCTTCTAAGATCGAATGACTTGTATATCTACTTTAATTATTATTTTTTAAATAAGATTAAAAATATTTCGCAATTTTTTGTTTTGTTTTATAAATATTTTCTTAAGGCTAGTTAAATTATTATTTATTAATATTAATATTAATATTAACATATTATATTATTTTATGGTATGGCATATCAAAAAAAAATTTAGCCTATGGTCTAAAACCTTCGTAAAAAGATTATAAAGAAATTAATTTTTTTTAAGGGAATTCTAATGCGTGTTACGAATATTGAATAAAAATAAATAGGATGATTTTCGAGCTAAGAATATAAAATTATAATCTCGTTCATGGTAGTTAACATAATTGATAAGAAAATTTTGTTCACTTTAGGAGGTTTTCTCTATGTCAAATATATGCAACAGGGATAGTATGAAATAGGGGTTGGTATGATCCTAATCTTTGATTTCTAAATAATATAAACCCGCCCTTATATATCATTTCTACAAAGGTTTATGTGAATAAGAATACTAATTTTAAATTTCGTATAAACATTTTTTTGTATACAAAATACGATTCATTTTTATATCCTCAAAAAAAAGGGATTTTAGCTCTTTTATTATTGGATATTTTAAAAATTAATAAATTTATTTTAAGTAACTCGTATTTAGCTAAAAGCTAATGCCAATTGGAGGTTAGTATTCCATCCCACCAAAACAAAGTTCCATCAATTATATTAGGAGTCCGTTGTGATAGTATTCAATAATCTATAAAATTATAATTGCAATATATTTAGATTTTATACCCTGAGCTTTACCTAAGGGGAATACTTTTCTCCCCTTCCTCAGAAATTTATTCCCCCCCCCCCCCCCCACTTTTGAATTTTCAAAATTAAAATTAAATTTAAATATTCCATAGTTATAAAATGATAGAGCATTAGACAAACTAATCATTAACAATTTATCTAACTTTACTCTTATCTTGATCTATAACTTATATTGTTAATAAGTTTAGTTTTTAAGACTTATACTATCGCTTAGATTCTTAAAAAACCCTAACTCCAGCGACTCAATGGGTCAATTGGTAAATCTAGATAATTTTTTTAGACTTAACAGTTCTAAAATAAATATTTTAAGATGCTCGTTTATCTCTTTATTAAAGATATGAAACATCGGATATTGGAAGCGTAAAATTATATTATATTTTTGGGTTAAGAGCCGGGCTAAATGCTCAAACTACTTCTGTTTTTTGTAAAATATTCTTATAATTAATTACCCAACCATTAGGTAGGGAAGGGTCGTTCAAGCATGATGCCCTGCTGAACTTTAGCAAATAACTCTGCATAGAAAATAGTATAATTTGAGCATTAATAACTTAACGAATGAAGATAAGGAGTCAACTCACCATTCAAATTAACTAGTCGACTCAGGAGTTCAAATTGGAGCCAATTTAGCGACTTAAAACAGACTCGAGTGTTGTCAACTCAATTTTGCTCTTTAAGAGTCATCAATGATCAGGGTTTTGTAAAAAAAGATGAGAGATTGTAATTTATCTTTCAAGCCCTAATTCTTAAAATCACGCCAATTTGCGAATCGTCATGGAAATCTATGATTAAATTTATATTAATATCGTATTAAAAATGGTTTAGGGGTAAAAAAATGTAAAGAAAAGCGCGACATTACAATGGTGACTTTATGAGAAATAAAGGTAACCTTTTATACAAAATGATCTCTTTCCTTATCTCCGACTACTCCTTTTCATGTATAATAGAACCTTTGGATTTCGACACAAATGTCGGAAATTGGGGAGATCAAAACTGGCTCTGTACGAAAAAAAGATTTTTTTTCTCTGCCTTTTCTCATGATTCTCAAACATTTTTGCAAATGTGATATTTAGATTTTTGGACTAATATTAATTTCAAATGATATATTTTTTTTATTAGTAAAATTGATTATTTTTGGAATATGCTTGTTATAAATTTAAAAAAAATTTTTTTTTTTGCACGTTTATAAAAATTAATTAATAATATTTCGGTATTATATTAAATGCCAATTTCAAGGATATAAAATCAAAAAATTATAATGAAGGTTTGGTATTTTAATTTTTTAAAAAAAGAAAGAAAAACTCTAAGATTAATAATGAACGTAAAAATAAAAATGTCCAATTAGTAGAAAATGATGTTAGTTAGGAGGACATCTGTAAGTTGGCAGCATGTCAATTTTCATGCCGTCGTTTATATCTGTAATGGCGTTAGAATTTTTTTTACCTTGAAAAATCATTTTCAATTTTTTTCATGTACACAATAAATTCGAAACAGCCTAATCCAAATAAAAATTAATATATTAAAAATTTAACAATTTTTTTAAATTATTATAATTTTGCTTTTTGAAGTATATAATCTCCTTTGAATTAAAATAGGCTCAGAGGCCAAAAAATACGTTCATTGGGAGTACTTGAAACAGAAATCATAATATTCTGGCAAGAGCTGAAGGTCTATAAAGTTCTAATTTTCCAAAAGTCTAGAAAATCCAGCATTCTAATTATTGTTCCAATTTTTATGAGAGGATAATTATCTTAGAGTGAAACTTTTTTTTAATATAAGAATTCACAATATTTAAATTTTAGAATTGGAATCTAACAGTGTTAAAATATCAAATAGAAAAATAAATAATAATACCTGAAATATGAATTATTGAAATCGATTCAATTTATTTCCCATATTTTGTATGAGAAGATATAATAATGATAATAATTTGACCTTTATTAATTCTATTTACATTTTCTAGCATCATTAAATGCGATGCTAACCGTGTATATGTCATATGGGGATTCGGAATCTCTTGATTTAAATCCTTTACCGAGGGCGATTAAAAAAAATTTAAAATCCGATTTAACCTGAAATGAATACTAAAATGTATAGAGAATTTACCCTATAAATTTCAGCCAATATCAGCCATAGACATTTTAGCATTTTTAATCCTTTCGCGCCCGACTTTTTTTCCCTCAATGAAAAATTTTTTTTTTAAGAGATACTTAATATAGACACAAATAACACATTTTTATCAAAAAAATTTATTTCGAGTATTTCTATCAAAAAATATTCAATGATTCCAAATGTCATCAATGGGCAAAATGCAAGTTCATTTAAAAAAATATTTTATTTCATATGAAATGACAAATAACAATTTCGTTTATTATTTAAACATAAATAAATATTACACTTTTGACACATAATTCTTGAATATGCATCTACGCAATACTTGCACCTTTGTTTAATTGTTACGGGCTTTGGGAAATGACCTACTTGGTCATATCTTATATCCGATATGGGGACAATATTTATGGCTTTTCTTCTCTTTACAACTATACTGGAAGGTCTTCCAGTCTTCTTGTTATTAACATTTCCTGCTAGCATCAGCCCTTTTGCTATTTGAGATTTAAATACCAATAATGTCATAAATTTGATATTATTTGCTTTCGTATGGCGTCTATAAAGGAGCCATGCATTTATTACACAAGAATCCAATAAATGGATAACCATTCGCATATATATCTTTTCCATTTAATATCTATCCTATATAACTCCACCAGCATATCGTGAAGATCTACTCCACCCATTCCCTCATTATAGTTTTTAATTATAACAGGTATTTCTACATTTATAAAGGTTTTGTCCGATACAGATCATCGTTTAATTTTGGTCATAGGTAAAACACCTATAAAATTAGATATTGTAATAACAGCTTTGTTGTCCTGCCATTTGCAGATAATAAAACCGTTTTCACTTTTATAATCTACAGCGCCTCTTCCTTCCTTTTAAAGCCTTATCGTTTTCAAGTGCGCATCATGATAATCGATTAGACCTTACCGTACCAGACACTAAATATCCCTTTTTTTTAAGAATTATAAATAATTGGTATGAGGAGAAAAAATTATCCATATATAATTCATGGTTTTTATTTGATGGTATTATTTCAGACAGGCGAAGTACGGTATCTCCACTGATACCTAAATATGATATTATAGTATTAGTAGACTTTCCCTGGTATATTTCAAAATCATACTCCATAAGATCCAGACAGGCAAACGCCTAAAAAAATTTCCAAATAAAATTGTTAAGCAAAACTATGAACAATTTTATCCCCCATTTATGGGGCTTCGATTTAATGTATTGCCTTAATTTAGAGCGCCCCTTGAAAGGAATTATGAATTCGTCTACAGCTAACTAATCTCTACAAGTTGAATTTTTTTGAAATTTTTTAGCTGGCATATGAAAGGCTGAATTTTGAATAATTTGTCGTAACCTTTATCTTCTTTATTTACCATATTTTTGTTATTATTAATATGGAAAAATTTTCGGATCAATAGAAAACAATTGCGGGACATAGTTTCTGATACTTAATAGATGTCTCAACCCACCAATACTGTCGTATCGAAGGCATCTTAATTAAGCTAGTACAAATGTATTCCAATAAATTTTTCAATTTCATTGCTATAAGTATTTATAGATTTTCCACAACATTGGAAGGAATAAATATTTGTCTCTGATACAAAATTGCTGATCATTTGGTTGTCCAAAAATTTACGAAAATAGGTTAGAGGAGTTGGTTCATGAATTTCCACCACAGGAGCAAATTCTGTATTCATGTTTCCAATGTCTTCTTAGACCAAAGAGGGTTATCTTTTATTTTAGTTATAGTAGTATCTTCGATTATATCCTCCAATTCAAGACCTAGTTCATTTTTAATATAAGATGAGGTTGGCAAATCATCTCCCAGCAAACTATAAAAATTGTCTTCTTCATCTGTGATCTCTATATTAGCTTCATAAATATCACCCTTGGGGATAAGTGTAGTCATATCTAAATGCAGTGATTAAAAAGTATCTCATATTATTACATGTTATATATGTAAAATATTTATTAGGACCTCTCCCTATATCCAAGAAAACTATTAGACATTAAATAATCATTACAGTTAACTATTATCAAAATATAATGTGATTACCCCCCCCCCTCCCCACTTCCGTTTTAACCCTAAATCTCCCATTTATTGATAAAAAATTATTTTAATGCATAAGATATGACCATTGATGCCAAATGGCATTATGCTTAAATTCCAGCACCTAAGATGATAATTTTTATATAAAAATATTAATATATATATATTAATAATAAAATTATTACTTATATTTTTAAAAGTTTTGATAACCGAAAATATGAATTAAAATTTTGGCGCGAACATGGTAAGAAAAAATTGATTTTTTAAAACTATAATTGGCTATAACATATGAAAAAAAAGAGTTGGTGATAAAATACGAAAGAGCAAATATTAAAAATATGATTTCAAAAGTTATCAGTGGCCATTTTTAATGCATATAAATTACTATTGAAAAATTACGATTCCAAAAGTTATCCATGATATAAATTAGAAGTAGTTCTGAAGTTCAGGGCAAAATTGGCTGAAATTTTTAGGATAAATAAACACTCTATACATATGAATACATTTCCGGTTAAATAGGGTTTTAAAATTTTTAATCGCCCTCTCTAAAGGATTTACGGATTCCGAAACCCATACGACTTACATATATCATTATATGGATCAAATTCAAACCTCCAAAGAAGAAAATTTCTCAAGATCCAACCTTTATTTATGAGTTGGCTTGAAATAAGTTACAATGTTGTATTTTTTTGAGGAATTTGCTTATCTTAGCATACATAATTGCTAAAAAGGATGATTCAGATTTCATCTATATTCGTAAAATTTTTACAAAGGAGAAAAGCGAGAATTAGGAAGTCATTAAGAGCTTAACCCTCTTGGAATATAAATAATTATCTTAATAATCATATTAATTTAAACAAATTATCTACAAATATATCAAAAGATTAATAAGGGAAAACCAGGAACCCGAGCCATTAAGCATAACAGCTACGGTCCAATTGAACTCCGGCGTCTATTATAAAGGTTCATTCCGGTTTGGATTATGATTAATTTTTTATTTTTATATTAATCATGACAGAAGCTTACAATTCCCCCCCCCCTCTTACCCCAAAGGGGTGGCTTAATAAATAAATAGGATAGGGGTAAGTTTAAATAATAAATTCTTTTTTTTTATTAAAATAATGTGATAATTACAGTTTTTCTGGGGTTAGAACGTAATTTGACAATTTTTATTTTATTGTAAAAAATGAGCCTAATTTATATTTTGTCAATTAAATTAGGGCCAACAATTCCTCCAAAACATAATGATTGGTAATTTTACTGTTTTTTTATTATGATCATCTTATGTCCTTTTAAATTTGTATATAATAAAGAGTAGAAGTTTGAAAGAACGGGGGTTGTTTAAGATGTTCTGCACTCTTCGAGTTAATGGTCTTGCCCGTAACTTACTATAGACGCTCAGAACCTGATGAGGATTTACTAATATCCTCCAAAACAGAATGATTGGTAATTTTACGTTTGTTTTTTGATTATGATCATCTTATGTCTATTTAAATTTGTATATAATAAAGAGTAGAAGTTTGAAAGAACGGGGGTTGTTTAAGATGTTCTGCACTCGTCGAGTTATGGTCTTGCCCGTAACTTACTATAGACACTCAGAACCTGATGAGATGAGAATTTACTGATATCAGTTTAAATTATATACATATATAAATTAACAGGTGTTCCCAGAGTAACAGCTTTTAATGCAGATATATGAGACATAAATAACAAATTTTGACCAGAATATATCAAACCCATTTTTACAAGCTAAAACAAAACAACTTCTTTATTATCCATTTATTTAAGAAAAATAGGGGTAGTAATATCGTATATATCGAACATTTCATCTTCCATCTCAAAATGGGATAAATTGTCAACGTGGCAGGACAGTTCGGCCGTTTTTTTTAAATTTTTAACATTGTCTCCGATTGAAAATGAGCCGATGTCAGCATTCGTATAATTGTCAACAAATTTAGCGGAGTTCAATGGGTCAACGTAACCAAAATTTTTATCGTTTAGATGCTGGGAAACGAGCAATTCAAAATTGAGGGATTCTTCGCTATCTTCAAATCCATAGGAGTCGGGAATATTTTTATCGTTAACAGGATGGACGCAATTATGTATATTGTTGGATACTTCATTGCTAGAAGTATCGTTGAATTTGAAGGCGTTAAATTTATTCTTTATCCTTTCTTGAAAGTTTTTATTATTTATGGACGATTTAGAATCTTCAATATCTTTCAGAAGATTATTGGCTCGATTGCCAGTACTCTCGTTCTTTGGGTAGGGATCAGATATATTCGAAAGATCTATCGCTTTGGCGTCGCTGCTAAGGAGATTACCACATTCTACTATATCGAAATCATTTCCAATATTCTCATCATACGTGATTAAATTTGTAGTACCTAGAATTGCACAATTTTGGCTCGGTAAGTCATAATCCCTATTTTTACCGAAAACAATACCCGGTGGATTAGGGAGTGCGGTAACGGAATCTAGTGGGGAAAAATCATCGAAATCGATATCGTTTTCCACTATATTTTGAGTTCGGTCACAAAATGCTTCATCGTTTTGGACATTGTTTAGGCGCAAGTGTCCCCTAGAATTCGCTAGTGCCAACATATTATGGAACGTGACGATTAAATAGAGTTCCCTGGATTTGAACGGACGGAATAGACTTAACTGTTTATTGTTTTTTTAAAAAAAGTCGAATATTATTAATATAATAAATTCAATAAAAATATATAGACTAGAGGTTTACAAAAAGTCAAAGTCTTATCGGGCCTAAGACCGAATTTTAAAATAATTATAATTCAATATCAAAACTGTCGCGTTTGGAAGTTTTAGTATAAATAATAGTTAGATAAATATATTCAATATAAATCTAATAATACCTTTTAAAGATATCACTTCTAAGGATCTGACTTTATTATTTCCAAATACAAATCCAAAATGAAAATCGAATGAATAACATGTTGTTGTTTGTGCTCGTGGGACATCTCCGTAAAATATGATCCCCTCCACAAAACCAGCAAGACATTCTTCTTCGAGATCCCCACTCCCGTTCTCTTCTACGATTGTACGACCTGCCTGTGGGTCTATCTACCGTCATCTCTCCATACCTGATCTGGGCCTCCTCTCTGGCGGCTCCTATCCATCTTCTCGATTCGGCTGATCCATCAACCATCCTAATCTCGATCTTCAAAATAAAGTTTCCCACTCGCACGTACGACGACATCTATCACGGACTTAAGCTAAAAATATACTATATTTATCATTTATTCATCTCCTATAATTCAACTGCTTCCTAATTCTCAATACTCATAATCATTCTCGTATTACCTAAGCCTCTCTCATTCTTTTTTATCAAATTGTTCATACTTTCAGCTGCTCTATTCTACTAGTGTACTTCGTCACATTCTGATTATCATCATTCTCGCAGACTTGTTAAAAGGAACAATTCAATTATGCCTATCAGCATTCTCCACATTCTGATTCTCATAATTCTCGCAGACTTGTTAAAAAAACAAATCAATTATGTCTATCAGCATTCTCAACATTCTGATTCTCATAACTCTCGCAGACTTGTTAAAGAACAAATCAATTATGTCTATCAGCATTCTCAACATCTCAGCAATTTAATCGATTCACAACGCCATTTATTACTAACCTAGACACCTAGGTCTTAATTGCTTAATATGCCTCGAAACTACTCCTATTCTTTCTTCAATTTCTACTTCTGCCTTCTTTCTTCCTATATTCTTCTTCACTATGTATCGAGTCTGACGACGAAAGTTGCATTGAATAGGGTAAAAGACTTCGTAAGTAAATATGGGTTAATGAAGACCTTAGTATCAGATGGTGGTCCAGCATTTATAGGCAGAGATTTTGACAAATTTTGTGATAGATGGAAGATTGAGCATTTATTAGCACCACCACATTACCCGAGAAGTTATGGACAAGCGGAGAGAATGGTAGCTCTAGTTAAGAGATGGTTAAAAAAGGAAAAATATGGAGAAGGAAAATGGTGGTTATTACTATTAACGTACAACAATACCAAGAGAAGCAAAGGTTACTCACCAGCAGAGATATTTTTAGGTAGAAAAACTAGAACAGAATTAGATTTTCTGAAAGAAAGAATAGAACAGAAAGAAGTTATAATTAATGACAGATTTAAGATCGGAAGCCTAGTTTGGAGAATACTTTTTGATGGCCCAGTTAAATGGGGGAAAGGTATAGTGAAAGAATATAGGAAGAAAGAAGGTAGAAGTATAAATTGAAGGAAGAATAGGAGTAGTTTCGAGGCATATTAAGCAATTAAGACCTAGGTGTCTAGGTTAGTAATAAATGGCGTTGTGAATCGATTAAATTGCTGAGATGTTGAGAATGCTGATAGACATAATTGATTTGTTCTTTAACAAGTCTGCGAGAGTTATGAGAATCAGAATGTTGAGAATGCTGATAGACATAATTGATTTGTTTTTTTAACAAGTCTGCGAGAATTATGAGAATCAGAATGTGGAGAATGCTGATAGGCATAATTGAATTGTTCCTTTTAACAAGTCTGCGAGAATGATGATAATCAGAATGTTGACGAAGTACACTAGTAGAATAGAGCGGCTGAAAGTATGAACAATTTGATAAAAAAGAATGAGAGAGGCTTAGGTAATACGAGAATGATTATGAGTATTGAGAATTAGGAAGCAGTTGAATTAATGGAGATGAATAAATGATAAATATAGTATATTTTTAGCTTAAGTCCGTGATAGATGTCGTCGTACGTGCGAGTGGGAAACTTTATTTTGAAGATCGAGATTAGGATGGTTGGTGGATCAGCCGAATCGATAAGATGGATAGATTCCGCCAGAGATGAGGCCCAGATCAGGTATGGAGAGATGACGGTAGATAGACCCACAGACAGGTCGTACAATCGTAGAAGAGAACGGGAGTGGGGATCTCGAAGAAGAATGTCTTGCTGGTTTTGTGGAGGGGATCATATTTTACGGAGATGTCCCACGATTAGCACAAACAACAACATGTTAGCGGTACAGGAGGAAGAACCTATGGTAGGACAAGGGAGCAGTAGAGATTAGATGAAGGAGTGGTAGAATCAAGTAGAAGTGCGAAGGTGTTAAAGTTATTAAAAAAATGTATTTTTTTATGATATGATTTGAATATTTAAATGAGAGATGAATATTAAAGTTATCCTTAATGAACTTGAATGTACGCAGAATATTATTGTTTATTTTAAATTTTGCATAAACAATTTTTTTTTTGAATATAAAAACCCATTATTCTTAACGAACTTAAATGTACGAATAATACTATAGATTATTGTAATTTTGCATATAAAATGTTTTTTTTTGCATATCCACTTTTTTATATATAAACTCGTAATTTTTATAAATCTATTCATTCGATTTTCATTTTGGATTTGTATTTGGAAATAATAAAGTCAGATCCTTAGAAGTGATATCTTTAAAAGGTATTATTAGATTTATATTGAATATATTTATCTAACTATTATTTATACTAAAACTTCCAAACACGACATTGGGTCTAGGCTTCATTAAGGGGAGAGGGGTGATAGAATTTGATATATTTATATAATTTATTATAGATATTTTTGCTACGTATTATAAATTTAAGATTTAGTATAATTTACGCCATTTATTAAAGGCAGAATTAGTTTAGAGGAGATAAATGTAGACATTAGGATAAAGTTGGTATATTTATATATTTTATTAGTATATTTGAATTAGATAGTTTATTTTGGAGAATAAATTATAAAAGGTGATAAAATATTTCAGAAGTTATTTAAATAGATTATTTTAGGTAGAAGTAGATTAGATGTGATTACCTGAAACCTTAAGATAAAGTCGATATCTCAGCAAAGGCAGACTGTCGTAGAAGACCCGGAAGTCTAAAAGATAGATACGATTACAAGAATTAGAGGCAACAACCAATCGATTACAAGAGAAAGTAGAAAACAAGCGAATTGATAAAAAGATGGTCAAGACGTTATGCTGCAATCGTTAATCGCGGACCAATAATAGCCAATTATTACCGAGACTTTAGTCTAAGATACGGAAATCGACAATCATAGGAACAAGAATTCGTGAAAACCATCGTTTATCGCAGACCAATCAATTGTTTATCGAGATAAAGAGCTAATCGTGGATTACAAGAGAATGATAGAAAACAAGCTACGATAAATTTTGAAAAAGAAACTGGATGTCATCGATAATCGTTCATCAAGCGTGGATCGTGGAAAACAGGCGTTTATCAAGTTCGTCAGTCGCCTACAGAGATAAAAAGCTGATCGTTTCCCAGGGTGACAAGCGACAGAAGATAGAACTCAAAAATTTCAAGCGATGATTGGATACAAAAGGTCGTTCGAAACCAAGAATACTAGACAAGAGGCAGCCTTCGTTAGAACTTAGAAGACAGCAAAGATTAAGAAGAATAGATATGGTGTATATACGAGGTCAGTAAAGTCGAAATCGAAAGAAGATTGATTATTCGCAGAATGTTGGGTCTAATTTAAGTGGGGAGGTGTTGTAATATGTAAATTAGTTAAATTTGTACTTTTTTAATTTGCATAAAGAATTCTTTTGGATTTACTATTATAACGCGTGATAAAAATATTATATTTGAGTAGTTATGAATATTAGTGATAAAGAAGATTGAAAAAAGTATAAAAAGGCCAATTTTTACCATACAGAAACATCTTTTATAATTATTAACTTTTTTGTATTTTATTTTTTAATTTTATTTTTTATTAATCTTTTTTATTATTTTTACTTTTATAATTTTGTTAATTTGATAATGTTATAATTTGGATAAAGAGATAAATTGATTTCATGATTTCGTGATTCCTAATTATTATTAATTTCTTTTTTATATATATATTTCTTTTATATTTAGGTTTGATTCACAATGAAAAATCTCCTCATTGTGACAAAAACGAAATTATACATGTCAGTCATTCCAATTAGGTCTTATTATTTTTTCCTTTCTTAAAATAAAATAAATCTAATATTTTAACTTCAAAATAAAAATCTTTTAGGATTTTGATAAATGAAGTGTTTTAATAAAACTTTGCCTAAAATTCCAAATCTTTATTGTAAATAATCTTTGTTGGTAGATCTTTTGGGTAATTTTATGTCAATCACCCTGATTCGGACCATCATTTTAAAAATGGATGAAATTGGTTAGAGTGTTAAATATGTATATTTTATAAAATCCTAATTTTAACGCCATAGGTCAAATACATATCGAGTTTCCCCTTTAAGGAATCTCAAAATAAATTATATATCATTTTGTCCCTCAAAATTTTACCTAAGAATTCAAAAATATTTTCAATGTTATTGTATTTAAAAAATATTTTGAAGTGTGTCCCATTTAAAACGATGGAATTCACGAAATGTCTTTATTACTAATATATTAAAATTTTTAAGTATTAACGGAAAAAATAAGAAATTTAATTTTATTTAGTTTTTTATAATTTTAGCAATACAAAAATCTATTACAAAGGGTAATTGAAGGATGGAACTTATCAAATATGTTTATTAATTTTTAGGAATAATTAAATCAATTAAAGAGGGCGCTAATAACGATAATTACAGTGAAAAAAAGTCGGCTACCGCTATTTGCCAAAAGGTACCGCACTACCGCTACTTTGACCCATTAATTATAAAAAAATTTTATAAAAATATTAATTATTTCCCCATTTTCAAACAATTAAAATTTTCAAAAATTCAATTTTCTTCTGGCGAAACTTACACTTCATTTATATTCTCATCTAAATGTGCTTAGCATGAATAAATTACCTCGTTATCCATTTCTTCGACAATTTTAAAATTTTATACTATTTGATTCGGGCTTATAAATTAAATATAAATTTCAAAATTAAATAATAAATTTTAAAAAGTAGCGGGCTAGCTATAGCCACCAAAGAAGATAAAGCGGTAAACTTTAACAACACAAGATAATTACACTTTTATTGGGGTGTAAAAAATATTCTTAAAATTATAGAAAAACTAAATACAATTTAAATTCGTATTTTCTTCTCCGTTAATTTTTTTTTTCTCTTTAGCTTTCACCTTTTCTGGTGGTAAGCTCCTTCAACATCTCTCTCCACTTTATGTTATTAATACAATCTCTTTTATCTAATTTATACTTCTTTATATTGGCTCTAACTTTATGGCCCCATTGAAGTTTTGGCCTTCCTCTTTTACGTTTGCCCATCACTTCCAAACTCTTAACTTTATTTCCTATGTAGTTCATAGGCCTTCTCATTGTGTGCCCATACCACCTAAGTCTATTTACCATTAACTTAGTCTTAATGGGCACTACATTTAAACTACTTAGTATTCTTGTACTGCACACTTTACGTTAATATTTTTACTTAAATATTTTGATAATAAACAAATTTAATGAGTTTTATCGTTTCAAATCAGGTCCCTTTAGAAACATTTTTTTTTGCACCGAAAATACGACACTGAAGATATTTTTAAAATTATTTTGGTATTTTCTAAAGGAGAATTTTGATGACTACAAAATGATACATAATTTTTTATTTGACCAAAAATATTTGAGTAATTTGAGATTTGTTAAAAGAGGAAAAGGCTCTCATCGAATTTTGAAGATCCATATTCAGGATTTATTTAAGCTAGAGCTTAAAATGTAATTTGTATAAAATATACAATTTAATTAACCCTCATGTCAAATTTAATCTATTTTAAAAACACGTTATTTCAGTAGATTTGTCATGGAAATACCTTTTAATGAGATTTTTATGCATAAAAAATCTTACATTTGATGAAATCACAAATTTAAAATCAGAGTTGTTAAAAGATATTTTTTAAATGGATCTAGATACAGATACATTGTCTAAAATAATATCTAGATACCAATATTTTATTCAAAAATCTATCTAGATACAGATACCACATTTTTATATCTAGATACTTGTATCTAGATCCTTTAACAACTATGTTTAAAATAAATGAGTTTGATATTAATAAACATCGATCTTCAAAAAATTTTATGCACAAAATTTTAAGGAAGATTTTCTTTAAACTTATTTGGTGCATGATTTTATCTTGAGCAGAAGAAAAATATATAATTTACATGAGCAGGCAATGTAAAAATAAATTTAATTTACTAAGAATTTAATGTATAATAAATTACTCATAGCTCCAAAATAAATTTAGGTTATAAATTATTTTTATCATTTGTTGAGGGATGTAATAAATTTTTTTTTTAAATGGGTCACTTTTGGTAAAATAATTTAAAAAATTTAAGTCTGAGTTTGTAAAATAAGTTCTGAAGCAGACTTTGAATCTACATTTTAAACTTTATCTTATTTATTTTTAATTAAAAGTAAAATATAATAATTTGTAATCCATTGATATACAAAATAATATTACTTCAAACCTGATACAATAAAAAGGAGCTCCCTTTATCAATATACTTGCCAAATTGAATTATTGCATCTCTGTTGATAATTGCTTTGATTTTACCTTATTTAACATATAAAATTTGAATTTTTTTAGAGATAGGCAAAATCTTAAATCAAAATTTTGAACCTGTGCAATCACATAGCTCTACCAAATATGAATGATAGTCTTTAACTATAATATTGCTACAGTAACAACTTATTAGTGGTATTTTTGTAGGTGCTACCTAGTTATATATTATGGTTAATTTTTATATAAAAAATTTTGCACTTGCTTAAGAATGCATTCAATTTTATAGATTGGGCCATATTTTAATATTAAATTTTGCAATGGGGTGTTCACAACAGAATTTAAATTATTCTCCAAAGTTTGCCATGATTTATGATTATCAAGTTTATTGTATAAATCTACATTTATCAATTTCTATGTATATAATTTTTATAAGTTTATAATGAGTATGACCTTTTTAGGAAAATTTTGAGAGAAAACTGAATTTAATAATTTTTGAGTTGATTTATCTTCAAAATCTGGCTCCTCCTACAAATACATATTAATTGCAATAATGAAAATGATTACATCAGGTAAAAGGCCCACAGGCCCTGGGATAATTTTTTTTGTTGAATTTTGATTTAAAATTGTTGATTGACAACTATTAAAATCCCTACTATGGCTTGGTTGTTCAAAATCATTACATTGCTTATTATTTTTATCAGCTGTATATAGTCAAGGCAATATTTAAAATTTAATGAATAAAATAGTTTCAAAACCTATAATACTCGACTTTATTTTTTTGTTGTGTGGTTGCCATTTAAAATCATCTATTTCAATATTTAGCTCATCTCCGCAAAGCTTATTCCAATCCATATGTTGGGATAGATAATAATTTATCGTCTGCTACAGAATTGAATATGTTGAATACCTAGAAAATCCAGCAGAATAACCTTCAAACTTCTTAATAATCAAAAATATTTTGATTTTAAGCCATTTCTAAACATTAATAAGAATCTCTTGTGAAATATCTATATATAATTTTATGAATATTCAAATATATCTTCGGGCAATATTTCTAAACTTGAGAATATCAATGATTAATGAGATTTTTGTCATGACTCATGAATATATATAATTCAGAACTAAGTTATTTATTAATTAATTTAAATAATTATTTTAATTTTTATCTATTATAAAACTTGACAATTTATCCTAGGGCAGTGCAGTGAAACAAAACTATATGTATTTTTCTAACCAAGATGGAATGCAGGGAAATCATTTCTTAATAAATTTTCAGCTGATAAAAATTATCATCATTTTTCCCTCTGTTACCCTTTATGTTAAAAAAAATGGACAACATATCATTATTAACAATGAATTAATATGAGTTAACGATATTTCGTATAAACTTAGTGCAACTAAGTAATTCATGGTTTCTTATGAAGTCGCTAAAATTTACCGCGATGCACTTACCTGCGAAACTCTACCATGATTTGATTTTTTTAAAACGAAATCTTTACCTTAAATTTTCAAAAACAAATACAAAAACAGCAAAACATTATAGCGAATCATAGCAAAAAGTGTTATATGTCGCAAAAATTTACAAAATATTTTAAACAAAAAACTGAAAATTACATAGGAAGTTACAATTAGTCATTTAAAGTAATCAATGGCCATAATAATGAGATTTTATTTTTAAGAGAACATTGAATGAACTTTGAAATTAAATTATATTACACTAAATATTATTTACTCTACATCATCCTAATCTATTATAATAATCCTCAAAAAACGTCAATCAAGTTTAACCAATAGTGTTCTTTTAAAAAATATTTGTCCAATGATAATCATCATAGAAATTTTAAGCCATTAGTAATTCTCATGTGATATATAATATGGCGAAACACAATATCCATATCAAATTTGCCATAGCAGGTAAAATATTCTTTTTTCAACAAATTTTATCTAGATAATATTTTTGAAATATTTTCTCAACACCAAAGTAAACACTATATTCTTCAATTATTTTATTTTTGATGTGTTAACTTTCATTAGACTCTATGACATCTGGACTGAATCAAGGAGAGTTGGCTTTAAAGTTAAATTTCAATTATTTTATTTTTGATAAGATCAGAAATACCAAGGTAAAAGTTCTTATATTTTAAATTTATATAAAAAATTTCTTTTTACCTTTTAAAACCTAATTAATCAAAATTCAGATGTGTAAGTGAGAATTAACGAGTAAACTGAGAATCAGTGGCGTAGCTACGGGGGGGGGGGGGTTTCGGGTTTGGACCCCCCCCCCCCAGAGCAATTAATTTTTTTTTAGAATATTCGTTTAAAAGACTCAAAAGTGACTTTATATCAAATAAATACCATGAATATTTATATTTTTCTGGTTTTGATGTTTGTGGAAGGATATTATTACTTTTAATTTTAAATATATATAAAAATTATTCTATATATTATTTTAAAGTCATTGATAATAATCTATTAATTTTAATAATATATTATTGATGCATTTTTAAAAAAATATTTATTATAAATTATCCAAGATATGGTTCGAAAATAATAATATGAAATAAAAAAGTGCATAATCTACCCCCCCCCCCCCCCCCTCAGAGCAATTTTTTTAGATTATTCGTTCAAAAGACTCAAAAGTGACTTTATATCAAATAAATACCATGAATATTTATATTTTTCTGGTTTTGATGTTTGTGGAAGGATATTATTACTTTTAAATATATAAAAATTATTCTGTATATTATTTTAAAGTCATTGATAATAATCTAATAAATTATAATAATATATTATTTATGCATATTTAAAAAAATTATAATTTATCGAAGATATGGTTCGAAAATAATAATATGAAATAAAATAGTGCATAATCTACTTTCTCATGCTTTTATTTCTAATAATATATATTTGGTTTATATTTTGTAGCATTTTTATAAATGAAATTATTACTTAAAAAAAAGGTTTTTATTATAAAAATCAAATTTATCCAAAATTGTAATTATCTAAATATATAAATTAGAATAGAAAAGATCTTGTAGTCCATAAATTTATAATAATAACAGATCTATTATATAGAAAATAAAACTCTTATAATAAATTTTAAATATCATAAATAAAATTCCGCTAGATGGCGTAAATTAATAAATTTTAGTTTTTAATTAAAAATAATATGAATTATAGGAGCATAATTCTTCGCTCTGGATTAATTTATTTGGTAGAAAATAATATAAACATAAAATGAAAAAAAATTTAAGATCCAATCATTATTTTTGGAGTTATGATGTGAATTCTCAGTTAGTCAATTTTTTAGAGTTTTGGGAATTAAAAAATATTTTATTTTTTTTGACTCATTTGGTGTAAACTAACTTATATAAACATAAAATGAAAAAATATTTAAGTTTCCATCATTATTTTTGGAGTTATGATGTGGATTCTCAGTTTAGTCAATTTTTTAATTTAATTTAAGATTTTTGGGATTTAAAAAATATTTTATTTTTTTTGACTCATTTGGTGTAAACTAACTTATATAAACATAAAATGAAAAAAAATTAAAGTTTCCGTCATTATTTTTGGAGTTATGATGTGAATTCTCAGTTTAGTCAATTATTAATTTTTTTTTAGATTTTTGGAATTTTAAAATTTTTTTTAATTTTTTACTCATTTGGTGTAAACTAACTTATATAAACATAAAATGAAAAAAATTTAAAGTTTCCATCATTATTTTTGGAGTTATGATGTGAATTCTCAGTTTAATCAATTTTTTAATTTTTTTTAGATTTATAGGATTTTAAAACTATTTTATTTTTTTGACTCATTTGGTGTAAACAAACATAAATAAATGCATTATTTTATAGTTGGAATCGGAAAACTAGTTTACTTCAATTAAAATTTAGGGGCCCTTAAAAGGGCCGTTGGGTATTCTTTGGTCTTAAAAATGACCGTTGGGTATTTTTATATCATAAAAAAAAAAATTTTTTAGACCAATTAGAAATAGCAATACCACAAATATTATTAATTATAATTTTATAAAAAAAATTAAGATAAATATACTCATTATAAAGTTTCATAAGAAGATAAGAAGGTTTCTTTACATACATATATCAATTTTTTGTAAAAGCCAGGAGGATCGATAATTGTTAAAAATATATAAATTATTTTTTATAAATATAGGGAGAATTATTTAATTAATTATTGGATATATTAATTGTTGGAAATTAGAGGTTTATAATAATAAACATATAAATCTATGGTCTTATTGTTTTCGTTCTTTCCGCTTTGGCTCTTTTGGCTTGATTAGGTTTTTTTGATCCTAAAGGTTTCACTAGAGCTAATTGACCTCATGTAGAGGTAATTAGCTTTCCATTACTATTTTCTTTTAGTATTTTCAACAGAATTGCCTTATGTTCAGCATCTGTCATCTCAGCCCAGCTCTTATGCATGGATGATATATCTAATGCCTTTGTTAGATAATAAGGTCCCAACCCACATATGGCTCTTTCGAAGTCTTTTTCCTGTATTAAAATAATATCATTTATTTTATTTATCATTATATGTAAAGGAGTTTTTTTCCAATCAAATTTTGTTTTTAATACATGATTTATGCTTTCACAATTATGTTGGTGTATGGTAATAAAATTATTTTATTTTTTAAAGGTAAATATACCATATTATATAATTTATCTATTAAATGATTATCTATATATTTTACAAATTTTGTATAATTTTTATTTAAGCAAAATTGTTTTAAATTATCAATTTTTTTTTAAAGATTTGATCAGTTAATGAAAATATTATTCCATCTTTATTAAAAATAAAATTTATAATTATGTTTCTAATTTATATTTCAAAGATGTTCTAGAAAGAGGAAATACTCTAGATGGAGAAGGTGTTCCAGAAAGAGAAATTACTCTAGATGGCGAAGATTTTCTAGAAAAAGAAATTACTCTAGATGGAGAAGATTTTCTAGAAAAAGAAATTACTCTAGATGGAGAAGGTGTTCCAGAAAGAGAAATTACTTTAGATGGAGAAATGAATCAGGATACTTGTCTAATTTTGCTGATCAAGCTTTTGATATTTTAAAAAACATATATAAATACCCATTGGTACAAAAGTTGATATCAGCTCTATAAAGTGATATCCCTTATTTTATATACTCCCCTCATGATAGATAACATTAAATATATATGCTCAAATAATAATCCTAGCATTATAAGTTTAGATAAAACTTATAATTTAGGGGAATTATTTGTCACATGCATGGTCTTTAAACATAAATGCATAAAAACTCACCATTTACACGATCACCCAATTTTCTTAGGACCTATATTTTTACACGGATTACCCAACATTTAATAAATTTTTCTCCCACCTTGAAGGAATTTTTAAAAAAAATCGTATACCCATTAATAATTTAATTTTTGGGAGTGATGGAGAATTGGGGATGGTATCGGCCTTGCGTAGAAATTTTAAAAATTCAACACATCTTTTATGTACTAAACATATTAAAGAAAATTTAATATATTTTTTAACTAATAACGAAGGAGTTGAAATAAAAATTAGAAACATAATTATAAATTTTATTTTTAATAAAGATGGAATAATATTTTCATTAACTGATCAAATCTTTAAAAAAAAAATTGATAATTTCAAACAATTTTGCTTAAATAAAAATTATACAAAATTTGTAAAATATATAGATATATATTTAATAGATAAATTATATAATATGGTATATTTACCTTTAAAAAATAAAATAATTTTATTACCATACACCAACAATAATTGTGAGAGCATAAATCATGTATTAAAAACAAAATTTGATTGGGAAAAAACTCCTTTACATA